GCTAATATAAAACAATATAATGTACACGTATGTATAACGTAACACAATCATGCCGATTACATCATCTTTCCTTGCCGAATATAAAAATGTAGATCGTGCATTCTTGTGAATTACAGTATATTAACACTGTCACAGCAGGAACACATATAATTACCGTATCTCTAAAACTTGAACTAATATTGAAAAAATAAGTTTCATTCCGGTTTTAGCACATTGAAAATAGTAATATTTTGTTGATATTATTTAGGATATTTTTTGGCTGTTGATCAGTGAATTGATACGTTGCTGAGAGATACACTGAAAATAGTTGAAATTTTGTTACTACGAGGGTGATCTGAAAACTTTCCGACCTAACAACGATACAAGACATTTTTCTCTCAGCGATGCACCCATCTCTGTAACCCGTCTAAATGATACTCGACGTTTTTGTCTGCAAAATAATTGTTCACGAAGGTGATTGTCTCTTCATTTGACGAAAATCGAAATTTTTAGACGAGGGATCAAAAAGAAGTCGCTTGCTCGTGGCTTTCCGCCATGGCAGCTTCGGTGGTTGAAGTTTTTGGACGTTCGGCACGGATATCATGTAAAAAACCTATAAAATATCAAAAAAACCTATAAGATGTCAACTTACAGACTAGGCAGTTTTTAAGGCGCAAACAGTCATTCCACGTTTGCTCGCTAGGATCGTTGTGAACGTCCATCTATGGAGGAATCACTCAACTAAACTACGCGTTATTGGTTGCATAGTTTTATGAGGCTGAGTGATCCGTGTCTGTAGTTTTTATCTCTGAGAAGAAAGTTGGTTGAATAGCCAGATCGCATCTGGATGATTATGTGTATTGGTCTGCATGTGTATAAAATCAGTGAGAAAATCATTACTGAATATGCAGAATATAACGAGTTATTTATATGTTGTGCTTTCGGAAGAGAGGTTGTGTATAATTACTGTTGGCATGTATATGGCTTGTAATTCGACAGTGTATAGTGCGTATAATGGTGCAGAGTCACCATACACACAATCCAACTCATCTTCGATTTGCATATGCATATTGCCTTTCAAAAACAGATATTTAATGACATCTTGATGCTCGTTTTGTCCATTTATACAAAAACGCTCACATGAACTCACTCAAACGACTGTGGAGAGTAACTGTCAACAGATGAACGAAGAAATGCTCTAGCTTTTATTTACAAGTGCTGCCATCTTCGCGTTGAGGTCGAAAACTTTTCAGACCAGCCTCGTATATACCTATAGTATCTGAAACGACCATCAGTTCGATGTGTTTTTAGCTGTTCTGGCAAAAACGTTATTACTCTGGTCTGGTTTCTCTACTCAGAAACTGCTCTATACGGCTCTTTGATAATTCTGTCCTCCATCCTTTACATAAAAGTAAAAAGAATCAATTAAAGTAGCATTCGCATATTCTCTCCGCGTAAGCTCGGAAACTCCATCTGGAATTTCCTGCTGGGTATAAAGCCGGATAGAACAATACTGCATTTTATATTCTGCATCCTGAGTGGTGGAAACAAAGTGAACAGGAAACCCATGACAGCATAATAAGGAGCTAGTCTATGCCAGATTGAAAAACGGGTCCTTTCAATAGCCAGAAACAAAGTATAACGGAAAACGGACCTTTTGTCTACGTAACATTTGTATTCATTGCTACGACTTTTCAAAATGTCTGATAGGGGTTAAAGTATGGCTATTGAAAGTTCTTTAGATTATAATCAGACAGACTGGGCTGCTGTAAGGGACAGGATGCGTGGTCTGAAAGAGATCCAGCAGGCTACTGGCCTGTGACGAAACGCGTAGAAAAAAGTAGCGCTCGTCACCAGCTGGGATCCTTGGGAAATGGCGAACGCTTCATCTGAACAACCTGCTGCATCGGTCTTGTTCGATCTTGACAGCGAGGTATTCAAGTACAGGGTTTGTGCGGAAAGTAATAGGGCATCTTGGCTGTAGGGCGGCTGCAGAAGCGTTGGGATGTCGGCCTTGGTCAGGTAGCTGTTCACAAGAAAGGCGGTATGAGCCGGGGCGTTGTCGTGGTGCAACTTCCAGTCGGCTGCGATGTCTTGTCGGACCCGACTGACCCTTCGTTTGAGTCGCCTGAGCACTTCCACGTAACTTGGCGTTGACGGTTTGTCCACGAGGAACAAATTCATGGTGGACGATGCCTTTGATGTCAAAAAAGACAATGAGCTTCGTTTTCACTTTGTATTTTCTCATTCTTCCCTTTTTTGGGCGAGGAGATGCCGTCGTGTGCCACTCGGAAGATTGCCTCTTTGTCTCGGGATCATACTCAAAGATCCACGACTCGTCACCTGTGATTACGTTATTAAAACATTGGGGGTCACTTTCACACATGTTAAAATTTTCTTGGCACACTTCCACTCGCCGCAATTTCTGGTCGTCAGTGAGCACTTTTAGGACCATCTTCGCGCACACGTTGCGCATGTTCAAATGATGTGTCACAATGTCATGAACCACAGATTTTGGTAAATTTAACATCTGGGCAATTAAACGAATACTAGGTCATCCCAATTACGGTCAAAGGGAGAGCGATAAAGGCAGCTAACAAATTTGGGGGAAAGTATTGTATCAAGAATGAATAGTACTGTTGGCGCCATCTGTTGGGGACCTCGCCAGACTCTCCTTCGGTGCGAGACTGCTGGCGACATCTGTTGGGGACCGAGCCAGAGACTCTCCTTCGGTGCTGGCGACATCTGTTGAGGACCGTGCCAGACTCTCCTTTCGAGATCGACGCGAAGTGACCTCGAAGATTCTGGACTGGCGCTCACCGGAATCTTCTTGAATCAACGAGTACCTGCGATACGGACTATATAAGTCGACGACCGGGAGATGGAAGCAGAGTAGAGTAGAGTTGAGTGAATGACGAGAAATAATAATTCGTAAATAAGTAGTCAGACCTAAATAGTGGTGTACATAAATCTTCTACCCAGTCAAGTTAAATAAATTAGTGCATTTCTTTTTGTGGAGTCGAGTGTTTTGATCCACACCTAAAAAAACCCAGAAAAACGCTACAGTATTCAGTTGAGGCAAGGCCTTGTTGCAAACAGACGTCTCTGAAACAGGAAAGACTGTTGTGGACAAAAGCCATAACTGCCCAGTTCTTCCTCAAATTGGAGTGCGCCTCGTAGTTCGGAAAACTAAGATGGTGTCAGGGCATCATCGGAAATTTTTGCCTCCGCCATGGCGGGATGATTTGACTGCATATACAGTAGTGAACAGCATGAAATCTGCTGTTAATCCCGGAGATGTTCGTGAAGGAGAGTTTATCATTGATCATGCAGTTCCCTCGGGTCCACACTCCGTGAGTGGAGTGAAATTACGCCCGGAATTTTTACTAATCGAAGGATCAATCATCATTTTTTGTTTTGAAGGGGAAGGGGAAATAGAATAAAACCAATTGCATAGTGTGTTAATTTGCGGACTTGTTTAGGATATCCTGGAAAAAGCTAGCGGGTGGTACAACCTCGGTCGACTGGATGTTCATTTTGTTTGTAAAGTGGCCCGTTGGCGGACTTGTACGGGGGATGTCTTTTAAGTTTTGCATATGGAAATAAAGCAACACGGTAGGTAGTTTTAAATGACTTTATGGAGGATGGTCCAATAATTCCACGTTTTCTTCCGTTAAATACTTTCTTGTTTTTTGCGCTGTGTGCGAGCTTGCATTGTCTTGGTGGAGGATGATTCTTCTTTCGGGGTTGATTTTTAGAGGCTCGGTGATGACTTTTGGCAAACAAACGGTGGTATACCAATCCGCAGTAACAGTTCTTTGCTCATTAAGAGGAATTGTTGCAATATAACCCGCTTTTGACACAAATGTCGCGACCATCTATTTCGAAACACTTCGAGAACGGATGACTTTTGTTGGCTTTTCTTCACCTTGGAACACCCAAACAGCCGGTTCATAACAGTAAATCCACGATTCATCACCACTAACTATGCTGTATACATTGTTTAAGTTTCCGGAATTGAAACGTTTTTTGACGCCAATTAACCCTGGTTGCTTTCTGCTCTTCAGTCAACAAGTGGGGTATCCAACGAGAAACTAATTTTCTTGCTCCTAATTCTTCACGTAAAACTTTTTTAATTGAGGTCTTTGAGATCTCCAAGGACGCCTCAATCTCGCGATATGTCACATGTCTATCTTCAATGATGAGTTTGCGCACAGCATCGACGTTTTCCTGGGTGACTGCCGTTTTTGGTGCACCGACCCTGGGATCGTCGCTAAGACTCACCCGTCGACGTTTGAATTCTCCATACCAACAGGAAATTGTCGACTGAAGTGGCGCTTCGTTGCCGAAAACAGACAGTAACTCAGCAAGGCATTCTTGTTGAGATAATTGTCTCTGAAAGTTGTAATAAATTATGGCGCGAAAATGTTCTCGGTTGAGTTCCATTTTTCTAATGACTTGGTGACACTTAAAAATTCACTGTAGTGAGAACACTGCACGTATTGTTGTGAAACTTTGAATTTAAGTTTACTAAAGAGTGAGGTTAAGATTCAGTACTGACGTGCGATCCGCGCGGCCTACTATGTTTCTATATGCAAAACTTAAAAGACATCCCTCGTACTGTCACCCGGAAATTGGTACTTAGATATTCCTTAACGCATGTGCAATCACTTGACGAAAAAGTTGTATCCTGAGTGCAACAACTTCCGAAACCATAGGAAAAAATGTGCTTTATTTCCAGCAGTCTGGACTATTTGTATAGATCGCGTAGAATCGATGATTCATTGAATATCCCAGCACATTCTCACATTTGTAACACTCCTTGAAATGCCTTTGAATCGCTTGCCATAATCTTCAAAATCTCCGAAAGATTGTTCTCAAAAAATACATCTCTGACTACCCTTATTCGAAAAGAAGTCGAGGAATTAACGACAGCTGAAGATTGTTCACTAGGACTCTTGTGCTATTTTTATTCGCGAACGTAAATGTATGCTTCTAAAGAGGTGTTATCGCTGTTTCAGATAACATCCACGATCTATACGAGATGCTGATGCAGAGAGAGTCAAATTTAGAAGACCGTTTGGGGCACCAGATGGCTAGAAGAGCTGGAAGAGGACCACAACTACGGCTCCGTTTTGGAAAAAGGCCAGATATGGGTTTCGAAAGTGTAAGTATAAGAATGTAATGTGATTGTCCCTCTGTCGCTGAAAGTTAACTTAAGGAAAATGGATTTACTTAACGTATACGATATTCCATCATTGTCCAAATGCGTTAAATAATAAGAGTTTCAAAAAGGAACGTTCCCTCATGTTTTATAATCATTGAATAGTCTAATTTGTTGCTCTCACACTAATTTATCACAACACTTGCAACTAATTTATTATAAACTTATAACCATTTCGACTAGACTATCGCGTCTCGCACTGCTTGTAGCACTCCCACATTCGACCATCCTAACGCTTATTATTTATTTCAAATCGACCAATCCGAAGACAGAACGCTTGCCTTCATTAAAGCTTGCTAAATGACGTTCGATGATCCTCGATAAAGGTAGATGCTGCTCGATGCATGTCGCTCCTGAACCCCAAACTCCATACACGGTCGCGCAATCCTGGCTGCCTAAGCGTCGCTGTTGCGAGGGCGTCTCATCGGTACCCCGCGTTTCGTCAGTAGTCTGCTGAATCTCTTTCTTACCACGCATCTTGTCCCTTACGCTGCCCTGTCTCCTCTGGGTAACTCGGACCTTGGTGTAGTGGAGGTTAGGTTTCGGTCAGAACCGGCTGTGGCGGCACAAACTCGCTGAAGACCGGTAGGGCACTTCTCACGATTTACATACCAAGATACAGCAATATATACAACTTTCTTGAAAAAAAAAGTAGCTGGCTTGGGCGTCAGGGGGACGGGTTGTCCCGCTCTCCCTCTCTAGATCAACCACTGATCTCATTTTCTTACTTCAACCAGGACTTCGCGATTCTAGCATTTTTTGGTGGCCGTATTCAAAATCAGAAATTACCTCAGTATACCGAGGAGTAGAACGTAGAATCTCGAAACCTACTAATTATTCATATTTTCGTACGCGGAATAGAAATGCACTGAAAATGTCAATTTACTTGACGCATTTCTTATTTTTTGCAGATGATTGGTGAAAGGCGTCCATCGCTCCGTCTGAGGTTTGGCAAGAGGTCAGAAGACGAATCGGTAAGTAAAGCATACGTCTATGTACGACGTATCCCGCTATAAGCTGACCGCCCTCGTAACTCTTTGCATTACCTTCTAGAAGCAAAAATATTATTTACAAAAGTTTTAGGGTGCAATATGAAGTTTTTTCTCGTTTTTTAACTCAGAAAAGTGCCGCCAAATAAAGTCGTATCTCTAATACTCTCACTTTCTGTATACACAGTAAAATCCATATACCACTGACGTCGTAATGCGTGCGAGAGAGAAGCGTGCCATATGGTTGTAGAAAGAGATAGAAGGACAACGTTGCCTAGCAACCCGAGTGACGAAACCACGGGCGCAACTGCGGCTTGCCGCGTTACTATCGAACTTCTCTCTCGTACACGTCGCGTCATCGCGTCGTCAATGATATTTGGATTTCTCTGTATACCCTTCTGAAGTTTTCGTTCAGATCGCAGTTTGGCAAGGATATTTGTGAAGCTGGGTCGCTTGGACCAGATAATAATTTGAATGCTATCACTGTATAAGAAATACAGAACCAATACACTTGACAGAGGAACTAGAATGTATTCATATTAACTCATTTTCCTTTATTTCAGGTTCCAGCATACATGGAAGGCGTAGCTGAAGCAGGAGAAAATTAAATGTTCACTATCTTCAATGATATTATGTACGAGAAAATGTAACATTACGTTCCTGTCTATGGATGTATATTTCTTATTCTTATGTATTAATTTTTAAAGGGATCGTGTCAAAATACCTATAATTCTCAAACTTTCTATTATGGGTGATGTTTCAAACGATAACTTCTCAATCATATGGACAACACTGGCGAATAGTCAATTGATGTATGTAATATATATTCATATGCAACATATATTGTCGAATGTACTATAACAAATAAACGGACTAAGTAACTTGTATGGAGTTTATTTTACTTTCAGATCTTTTTCGGAAAGGGCGTAGCATTACACCAAATAGCATTAACCTGAAAATAATCAACCATAATATTGTTAAACCGGCGTCCAATAAGGGAATTGACAGATACTAGCGCCATCTATGATACATCACGAGAGCACAAAAGTGAATCAAAGAAACTACTTTGAAAACAGTTAGTGTTTGGCTTTGCTACTGTCTCATAGATATCGCTAGGATCTCCAATCCCTTTTTGATCATCTCTAATGACTATTTTAATGAGTATCTTCTTAGATTTTCTTTGAAAGATGTATCATCACTTACATTCTGAAACAGAATGGGTGTCCCTTGATTGCCTACAGGAGCTGTATGAAATTGTTATAATAACTGCTGTAGTGTCACTTGATATATTTTTCAGTTTTCTTAAATTGTCATATGAGAATGACATGTCCAAGTTCCAGAATTTTAGCGTCACAATACAAAAGTAGATATTACTCATTGGTGAAAAATTATTCACCTGATTCCACAGGAGCACAAAATATTATAAACGATCGTTTTCTTTTTTTACCAAGCGCGAAAACGTTCAATCTTCGGTGACTGCAACTTACATACGAAAGAACTCCGAGAAATGCCGATCCCTCGCGACCTGTCAAATCACGGCACACTAGAGCAGTGTTGCCAGGTGGAGTCGACGATATTTCGGTAGAACTGTATGGAATTTTTCGGTAGTTTTTCGGTAGATTGAATACTGAAGAGTAAATGAAGGCTTAAAACAATTTTATTTAACTCAAAATATACTCTAAAACAAAAAGACAAAACAAAAATAAACACTTTATATCTCACTTTAGCTAACTGAAGATAAAATATTCTTAATCATTCTTCCAATTCATTTTTGTATAAGTTTTTATCAGTCATATTATACTAATTTTGCTTTGCCAAATGGTCCATCAGCAGGAATGGCAAATTATGCTCGGCCAAAAATGCGCTCAAACGAATTTCTCCTGGAAATAATAAAATAATCTATATAATCTCAAATAGATTAAGTATTTTTACCTTCTTTAATATCATTTTCTAATCTCTTTGATGCACCTGCAAGAGCAACTGACAACACTTTTGGCTGTTCTGCTATGGTTTGCACTTTTTTATGAAATTGACCATTTGTGTGTTTTATCTCTTCCACTTTTGATATTAATATCTTTATCACAGACCACGCATTTTGGATAATCGCGACCTTTATTGCTTTTTTAAGCCAGCCTTGGAAATCTGGCAATTCATCCCAGTCTTCCTGATAATGCTGAGCATACGCACGCGAAAAAAAAATGACTGCAAGCCAGGCAATACTAATACTGGCCGAATTCGGAATTACTAAGTACATAAAATCATACAGTACAGGCATGGACTTGTCACAAGCCGCTAGGCCTAGGCGATGTAGCCAAATCATCGAGTATCTTCGGAGATTCCCAGATGCGAAGAATCAGCGTACGTGGCACACCAAGGTCAGGCAAAGAGAATAAAAATATATCTGGTCTAGTACGAATAATAATAGTACTTTTGTCATTATTTTTATCGCTATGCATCATAAATATTTCTCTTATATAGGGAACAAAAATTATTCAATTGAAGGAAAAGTCCACTTTTCGGTAGATTTTGCTTTAAAATCGGTAGTTCAGTAGACCAGGACCAAAGTCGGTAGATCTACCGAAAAATCGATAGACCTGGTAACACTGCACTAGAGATCTTATAGGGAATAAAGCATCCCACAAACTGGCGCGAAATAATCGCGGCGAAGTATTCGCAACGAAATTCAGAGCGAAATTCGCAATCTGTTTCGCCTGTTTATTCATACCAAAGCGTCTTATTCGCTCCGCGAACGTGAAGGTTTCGACAGGTTGCGTACATTTTATTTTTGCCTTTTGCAATGAGCTCGTCTTCAGAAGAAGAGGAGGCACTTCTATTTCTTGCTTTAGAAGAGGAACAAAATGCACGGTAAGTTATGTTTATTTAACGCCATTTGATAGTTGGGTATGTATTGATTTTAACGAAGTACATAAAACAAATATTTTCAATTTTGTTTAGGAAACGAAGGAAGTGGGTACATGATATTAACTTGGAACGAAATAAATTTGGGGAATACCATACCTTGATGCCACAACTTCGGCTGGATGAACAGCGTTTTTACGTATATTTTAGAATGACTCCAGAGTGTTTCGATGAAATATTGAACTTGGTGAAAGATGAAATACGAAAATCTGACACAAATTATCGTGAAGCTATTTCGCCAGAAGAACGACTTGCTATTACACTCAGGTAAAAAAATTATATGTATTAAAATTAGTAGGCTTATCGAATACGAAAACTTCAGGGATCGTGAAATAAATATTTTATTGTAATAATTGGACTACATGTTGCCACTAGGATTAAATGTTGCTAAATATTTGCCTCCTCTGTTGGGTATATTATTGGAGTAAACCCAGTGCCGCTTGGGAAGGACGACATACTACTACCATACATACTTGCAGAATTCTGGGTAGACGCTGAAGACATTTCTTCAATATGTTCAAATTCTTCGTGCGCTATAATTCGGCTATTTTTATTTTTATTCGGGCTTGACGCTTTAAGGGAAGTGTTTTCACAGTCTGTGCATGTGCCAAGAAAAGTGAATCAATGGCCTCGTTCTCTTTTTTAGGTTTTTTACCTTCAAAATAATTAATGAGCTGTTGTACAGACGAAGATGGTGGTTCATAGCGTTTTCTGCTCGTTTTATATTTTGGGGTAGTTGCGGTCTGCGGAAAGGTGTGCCCTGGAGTAGTCACTGCTGTAGTGTTCAATGAAGAAGGTGGTGCTGTCTGTGTTGCCGAGGCGTTCTGTGCATCTTCTGCATCTACATCAGCATTTTCATCTTCTCCATGGCCGCGGTCTTCCAAATTTTCGGTTTCTACATTTCCAGCCCTTTCCTGATATATATTTGAGTTAAATCCGGCAGTCTCATAATGTATGACGTCAATATCTTTCACATTAGACGACGTTTTGGCAAATGCCAAAAAAGGACGGAAAAATTCCAAGTAGTCAGCCCACTGCCATTTCTTTATGTTGCCCACTGCTTGGCCGGTCTTTGGTTTGGTAGATTTTATATACTTTGCAAATGTGTCTCTGATATACTTCCACCTTTTTTTTACTTCATCACCTAAAAACGATTTTTTTATAGATTCCTTGCCACTGGTGAGACCTTCTATACCATTGGGCATAGCTTTCGAGTTGGCTTTACAACAGTGAGTGCAATCGTAACCGAAGTCTGTGAAGCGATATGCAGACATATAGAGCATATATATTTACCAGAACCAACAGAGAATATATGGAAAAAATGTGCTGAAGAATTTGAAAATAGATGGGGATTTCCCAATTGCATTGGCAGCGTGGACGGTAAACATGTAACAATCAAGAGACCTAACAACAGTGGCTCCAATTACTGGTGCTATTTACATAAATATTCAATAGTACTTATGGCCATTGTTGGCCCGGACTATAAATTTATATGTGTTGATATTGGTGGTTTCGGAAAAAATAGTGATGGGGTATTTTCGAAACCTCAAACATGGGAAAACGATTTGAACAAAATTTGTGGTGTCCCTGCACCTAGATTTCTCCCTGGGCAAAATGAAATCTGCTCGTACGTCTTAATTGGTGATGAAGCATTTGCTTTAAAACCATACCTTATGAGATCATTTCCTTATAAGCAGACTTTAACAGACGTCAGAAAAGAGAAATACAATGTAAGACTTTGTCGAGCTAGAAGAGTCGTGGAAAATGCGTTTGGTATTTTGTCTCAAAAATGGCGAATATTTTACAGGCCATTAGAAACTAAAGTAGATACTACTATTCTAATTGTACGTACGGCATGTGTTTTACACAATTTTTTACGAAGTAAAAGTGGCGATGACAAATATTTTCAATTCTTAGATCCCCCAGAACCCGTGCTTGTAGCTTTTACTGATATAGCAAATGATCCTCGGCGGGCAGCAAGGCTAGCATTTTCTACTCGTTACAGATTCGTAAATTATTTTAATTCTGATATGCCTATGCCCAATATATCGAATGTTCGTTTTCACATTTGTGTAGACTGTAAATTATTTAACAAGTTAATAAAAAATATTAGGTACATACCATTTGTATTTAATTCTTTTCCTATTTCCATCCAAATCTTGTCTTTCTTTCTCACATTCCTGTATTCATCGTTCCACAAATCATACAAACAAGGATACTTTTTCACTATTTCTATCAATAATTCCGTTTTTGACATTGCGAATTTTTGAAGAACGGCGTCAAAAACGCGGTCAAAGGCGAACTGAAATACGCCGCGATGAAAACGCTGGAACAATCGCATTCGCTTCGCACAAGTCTGAGCCTGTCCGTAAACCGCCGCGTTTTAATCTGATCGCGAATTCATCGCCGCGAAATTTTCGCAGCCAAAGCGAATATTTCGCGCCGGTTTGTGGGATGCTTAATTCCTCACATCCAGTTTACATGGAATATATAGAAACACACGATAACTTCTACACTGAGTTTTTAGTGCCATTTAGAAATTAATTAATTGCCTAACGTGATGAATAAAGATGTATGACGATATATCGATATCGAAAGGATCATAAACATCGTTATACCCCGAGTATAGGCAACTGTGCGAGGATTGGTAGCCTGGTAACTTCGAAATTGAAAGGGCAGAAAGCTGTTCAGTAATATCTCAATATTATCATTACAGAAGTGAGATGACTGTAACTGTAGTCTTTTCTTTATTCTGTACTTCCCCAACGGATAGAATAAAATAAACTGAAAACAGGGCATTCAATGATTTTAAGTTCCTCCGAGTATTTATTATATGTACTTGTCGTGTCGCTGTTTTATTGTTAATTTAAATGCCACGAAAAAGTGACGTGTGGAAGTACTTTAAAGAACACCTTTCGAGTTGTGCACAGTGTAAAGTATTTAATGATCATCAATGTGTTCTTAATTTTGACAATGTCATATCATGCAGTTTCCTAAAATCATACCGTTTTACTGAAATATATTCTATCGTGAAGTTGCTGTCGCGTTTTTTATTCGTACTTAATGGTTCTGAAATCAAGAAGAAAACGCGGTGGGAATTCCACCAACGGATAGAGTGACCATTCCGTTAAAGCCGATAGCATTCGGTGCTGAAAACAGAAAACGTTAAAAAGAGGTTGTTTCGATACATCGATGTGTTTGTTCCGATGTATCGAGCTCCATCGATGTTACGATGGCGATGTCCAAATATCGATGTTTTCCAAAAAATTTCCATCCCTACCTATACCTATATTAGATTGACAGCACTGTGGAAGAACCAATGAAGTTCAGAACTTGAACAATTTATGCATAGTGTAAAGGCATAGGCAACCAATTATACACTTCAGTTTCCGCAATTTAAATGTTGGACATAGTTCATGCAGTGGAAGGTTCAGAATTTAAAACTGCAGCCCAACTCATTTTGCCAAAAAATGGAACTCTCAATTGTGATAAGGAAGATACTTTTTATACCAAATAAATAAAACCACAGTTTATAAACATTGTTTTATTTAACCTTATGAATACATTTAAGCCACAGCAACTGGTATTGGAGCTGGGCCATCAGGTTTAATAGCCTTAATGTCACTGCTGGGTTTTGAAGGCAGAACTTCTTCTTTGGGCTCCACAACAGACACATTGTCAGGCAGAGGCTTCTTAGGTCCAGTCTTACCAGTTGGGTCCCAAGGCAACATAATTTTAACCTGGAAACAATAAAAAAAACATTTGTCAAACCAAAGTCAATCACTCTAGAGCCTGCATTTTGCTTGTTTTCTCAAGTAGTGCATAGAAAAATCACATATTTTTTAGACTTCACTAAAAAACAGTCTTTTGCAGCAAACAGCCTCTTTCTTATATTTACCAAATTGCTTATTTATTTATTAAGATTTCCATGAATCTTTTGCACACCAAAAAAGCTTGGACCAATAATAGAGTTAATATGGAACAACAAATGTTTGTCTACACAAAAATAAATAAAGGTATGACTCTGATCTTAGGTAAATTTTGCGATTTTGAAATCAAGTATCCAAAAAAGAGTAAAAGTGTAAAACATATCTTACCTTAATTCCCAAGACACCCTGCCTCAACAACACATGCCTAGTAGCAGTGTCCACATAATCATTGCATGGATCTCCTGAGTGAATCATAAGACCATCAACAAACTTCATCGATTTTGCTCTCTGACCTCGGAGTTTACCAGATACTACTACTTCACACCCTGAAAAAAAAAAAGAGAAATTTGAATCACAAAGAACACTGAAAAATGTAATATAACTTTCATCAATCAGATCAGACACCAACCATGTTTCATGTTATTTGTCAGCATCGTCATATTACTGAAAAATGTCTCATGCATAAAAATGAGAATAAAGCATCTATATTGATAATCCCCCATGTTTGCGTCTCCAATGAAACCACATATATCTTAAATTGAAGAATATCAAATATCTATGGTTAGGATAAGTTTCAGATGCTACTTCATCTTTAATGAGTTTTACAGATAAATTGTTAATGAAATGTAATACAAAAATTCTGTCAAAAAGTTAGATTAAGTAAGATTTGCTAGGTCACGTTAAAAGAAAATATTCTATTCCCACATTAATGACAAATGAAGAAACTAACAAACATAAATAAATGCTTAAAAAAACTTTAAAAACAACATGCTTCAGGCTAGTAAGAAGCTATTTTCAAAGGTTCTAAAAACGTGTTGTCATCACTTTGTGCAGAAGCAAATGAAATAGCCTCTTCTAAACACAGTCTCATAGGCGACGCAAAATTTTCAATGTGCTGTGAGGGCGCATATTTTATACTTTGCCTCAGGGGGCCTAAGTCTCTAAAGCCTGCCCTAGACTGTGTCCTCTATAGGGCTTCATGCACACCCACCAAAATCAACATGTATTGCCTCAAAAATGCGTAAATAACCGACAAAAAACATACCTTTGGCTCCGCATTCCATGATGTACCTGAGCACACCATAGCACGCTCTACGGACAGCAAGGCCCCCGATCAATTTGAACCGGAGGGACTCGGCTTGTGCGATAGCGCACAGCCCGCGGTTGGCCACCTTCTCTCCGTAAAGTACCACGGAGTTTTCTGGGAAGTTGAACCTTTTCTGGACGACGGAGGTCAACTCACGGATCCTGCGGTTCTTCTCTCCCAGCACACGGTCGGTCCTTGTGGCCATAATGATGATTTCGGTACGGGTCGGGGTGACTCGCACTTCAACGCCGGAGTATCCATCTTCGGACAGCTCTCTGGTCAGGAATTCGTTTAATTCGGCTTTGAAAACGCCGTCTCCTACGAATTTTCGTTTTTTCGATATTGTGGTTGCCATTTTGATGACGGTCACCGAACGAAAAGGAACGGCCACGAGGTAATTGGATTGAGGTTATATTTTGGTTAGTTTTTGTGTTGGCAGCACTGCATTTCCGTTGCGTTCCACCAACACGTTTTCTCTTTATCTGTCATATCAGTATCTGATATTTGTGTCTCTCTCACATAGTTAAAAGAAACAAAAGATAAATTTTAACCAATAGAAATCCCGGATTTTAAGAGATGGACATGCAATGTGAACTAGAAGCAAGTTTCGATGTTTCAGGAGACAAGTGTTCCCATTTGCCATCTTTGCATATTTCTTCTTCACCAGACAAGCTTTAAACGCATAAAGGGGCGGTGTTTTTAACAAAAGTTTCTCAGTAACCGCTTTTTATCCATTATTTGTTCAAGATTTCTCGTTCGAAATAAAATCATTTAATAACCATAGGAGTGGAAATACCTATCGGCAGTAGAACTCATTTCTATATCTTTTTAGTTCTTAGGATGATAGCCTTAACTGTCACAATTCAGTGTCACTTTGTGGTATCACGTGAACGTTACTGTCACATGATTATCACTTGTTTGGGGTGGTAAGATTTACTAGAAAACCCTGATATTTTAGTGTTTTTACATTTTACGTAGCTTAATTTTATAAATTAAAGCAATGGGTGCTTCAGCAATCCCATTTATTATTTTCACCGTGATATGGGCTGGCGTTGGAGGCTTCCTGCCCATGGTTGTTCCTAAAGGACCCAACAGGGGGTGAGTTACCCCATATCAATCAGGCACTTCTGTCCAATTTTAACCATTTTTCTATTTGCAGGATAATTCAAGTAATTCTGATACTAACAGGGGTGTGTTGCTGGTTGTTGTAAGTATTCTAAACTTCATCACATGATCTATGTACTAAGTTATATTTTTCAGCTGGTTATGCTGCTATGTAGCTCAGATGAACCCCCTGATCGGGCCTAAGCTGGACAGGAATACTGTGTTGGTGGTGGCTAAGCAATGGGGGGTAAGCATTTCTAAGTCTGTAATACAGTTCCCCTGTATGAAGTGCCCTTGAAAATCTTATCTTTTTTGTACAAGTTTTTTCAAGATTGTGGCTGAAATAAAATTGAATAATATTTTGATATTAGAAAATTTGAGCAGAAAATAGATAATGTAACTGTACTCAATGATTTTATTTGGTATCTGGGCTTCCAATCTGACAGAACTACTGACCTATAGTAATGGACAAAAGTATATAAACAATTTAATATTGTGCTGTATTTCTTTTTTAACTTTTATTAATACACCAACCTATCTACATAATTCGTTATAGCATAATACTCACTTATACATAAATAAATTCATTAGACTCCCTTCAATAAAAAATTAATTGAAAAAAAAACTGGATCTATGAAGGACAAAAATATATAGACAAAGCAAAACAATTATAAAAAAAAAGAAGCAAAGTTCATTCAATTATAGAAAACCAACCATGTTTGTGTTAATATTTTGTAGCATAACCATTATTATCAATCACCACCTGGCATCGTCTTGGCATAGATTGTAGAAGTTTCTTGATATAGGATTCATGAATCTGTCTCCACTTTTGCTCTAAAGCGGAAAAAGTTTATCCTTGTTTGAATCATTTTTATCTTGTATTTGCTTATCTAAGTATTCCCATAGATTTTCAATGGGGTTTATATCAGGAGACTGTGAAGGCCATTTGATAACTGGTATTTTTTCATCCAGAAAGAATTTCTTTGTGAGATTTAAAGTGTGCTTCGGGTCATTATCTTGCTGGAAGATTGATCTTAAAGGCATATTGTCTTCCATATAAGGTAACATGGCATGCTTTACTATGTCTGTGTATACAAACTTATCTATAATGCCATCTATTCTATGTAAAGGTCCCATCCCAAACAACGAAAAGCAGCCCCAAACCATAACAGACCCGCCTCCATATTTGACAGTGGGCAAAGTGTACTTGTGTTCAATTTTTGTCCACTAGGATGTCTAATGTAATGAATACCATCTGATCCAAACATATTGAACTTGGATTCGTCACTGAAACATACCCTCTTCCAGTCACAGATGCTCCAATCAAGATGCAACCATGCAAATTGTAATCGGTCCTTACGGTTTTTCCTCGAGATTAGCGACTTCTTACTCGGGCGACGTGCAAATAACTTCAAATCATTTAATCTTCTACTTATAGTTTTCATAGAAACACTGAAACCTTCTGTCTCGATTTCAGCTTTTATTTGTCTTACGGTTTTAAACGGATCTTTAGACGAAATTAATTTTATTAATCTAACTGATTGAGCATTTAGTTTTCTAGGAAAACAACTTCTCTTCCAGGCTTCCAAGATACCTTTTTGTTTATATTTGTTCAATATTGCCCAAACTGCTTTACGCTGCAGGTTAAAATTTTTGGCAATATCAACTTGACGTTGACCATCTTTGTATAACTCAGTGATCTTAGTTTTCACATTGAAAGAAATATCTGGACCACGCGGAATGGTCTTAAAATTACTCAACTTATTCCACAATACTTGATGAACACAAACTAATCCTCTTACACGAAACTGTACTAAACTAATATTGAAAAGAGTGAAGTGCTTATATTCAGACTCGTATTGTGTTCACTGCAGATAATGTAAAAACAAGGAATTTAGTTTTCTACTAATTACGCATTTGTTTATGGAGCAATGAAGTATGAATTCGTTTTCTAAAGGTATTTAGGTAAATATTCATATTTATCTATATACTTTTGTTCATTACTGTATATTACAACACCTAAGAGCAAAGGTCCCACTTGCCTCTCTCACAGACATTTATAAAAATCAATAGATAGGATGGTACATATTTGATGCAATTATTTTACATGCAATGATTGCTTTACCAGGAAAACTGTACCATTAAATTCTGTGTTCATTCTATTTTATTTAGAATAAAAAATGTGTCTCAAAGCTGACCATTGACTTTATTATTATTGTAGATTGAAATACTGATTGTTTTTCACTTTCAGAGTGATTTGACGAAAGCCTTCCCAGGTTACAAGCCATGAACAGATTCAATTTAATAGCTTTAAAATTATGTTTACGCAATTTACAGTATAAATCATTCATGTACATTGTCTACACTGTTATATTTTATTTTATATTTAATTTTAATTATACTTGCAGAAAATATATTGAATGTATTATTAGGAAGTAGAAAATCAAGTGTAAAGTGTGACTCAATCTTATTTGTAAATATGATTAAATCAATCGATTAGATTTATGTTGTCTGATTTTTTTAATACCATCTGTCATGCAAATTGAATTTTGCCAACATCTTTTTTATATGAAATTGGACTTGCAAACCTGAACTATAAGAAAAAGCACTTATAATTGGCAATACATTTTGGAGGTTATGTTTTCAGAAACATACAAATTAAGAACAACTGTGAGGTTATATTTATTATTGAACATAAGACGGATCCATTATGTTACTTTTTTGAAAACTATGTTTTTCAAATGTTGCCCTTCACTGCGTCACGGGTATCACGTATCTTGAAAAGTGACTATGCCGATTTTTTTTTGACATTATGTATGTAGGTTTTTCGCCAAGACGTTGACTTAGCACTTAATTGTACGTGTTGCCTAAACGTCATGAGGCTTGTTATCACAGACTACTTTAGTAGTCTGTGCTTGTTATCAATCTTTGGCTCTGATGTGATGTAAAATCTGCTTTTGAGATGGCATTACTGGAGGTCTAAGCTGTAACTTGTATGTGTTATGATAATTACATTGGGTTCTTGTCTCAAATACACTTGATTGAGATTCAAACCTAGAAATTAGTTACGCATCACACTGTCGAATTACAAGCCATATAGATGCTAACAGTAATTACACACAATGCGGCCGCGGTGATGATTTCTCGTAATTCTCCTGTTTTTCGTAATTTTTAACTTTGAACATAACCTCCCTTCACAACACATAAATAACCCGTCATATTCAGTAATGATTTTCTCGCAAATATCACTGATTGTAAACATATGCAGATCAATACACATAATCATCCAGACGCGATCTTGTTATTCACCCAACTTTCTTCTCAGAGATAAAAATTACAGACACGGATCACTCAGTCTCACAAAACTATACAACCAATAATGCGTGTATAGTTTAGTTGAGTAATTCCTTCATAGATGGACGTTCACAACGATCCTAGTGAGCAAATGTGGAATGACTGTTTGCGCCCTAAAAACTACATGGTCTGCAAGTTTTACATGATACCCGTCCCGATCATCACTTTAGAATTCAGATTCCATGATTGATCTGTAAGTCGTAAAAATCCTTAAAAAGTGCTTATAAATGGATCACCTGTTGTAATTTACCTAAATCATGAATACAATGTCATTTTTCAAATAATAGTAGAAAAATGGTTGTGTATCGCAAAAAAGGCTTATAGAGTCATAAAATGGTTTATTTTTACATACAATACTTGACAAACAGCCTATATGCAAGCTTTTATAATAGCCTCCATAACTTTGTATGGATCTGCATTCCCGGCAGGTCTTCGATCTTCAATAAAGCCTTTTTTCTTATCTGCTACTATTTTTGGTATCCGCACTGATGCTGATCTATCGCCGATGCCACACGTAAACTTATCTGTTGGACGAAAATGCTCTCATCAAGGCAAACATAATTTGTCAAACAAAAGTAAAACCAAAAACGTTAAATACTAAAATCGATCACGTTTATCAGAAGAGGGTGCTAGAATAAACGCTGCTACGTGAAGCGCTCATTCCTTCCTATACATTTCATTAATTCAAATCAGATGTTTCTTAATAACGATTCGGAAAGATCGTCATTATAGACAGCCGAAGCGTTAGTAAAGTTATTTGTTTACCAGATCTTTTGACTAATATTTATATCCAAATACAATTCTAGTGTAGTGACTGGTTTGAATTTCAAATTTACCGCCATGTTTGTAAAGTGTGACAGGTGACAGCAGACCGTCGTGAGGGACTATGGGGGATTCGGAAATTGAGGTTATGAAAAGTTGGACTTGTGTGGGAAAGTGGTATTATATTTTTATAAGGGATGTTCCGATCCACGAAAAGTATCGATACCATACATCGATTCGTATCGTTTTAGGGATTATCGAAACTTTTCGACACGGAACACATACTGCCGAAAATCGACGTTTTTTCTACCACCCTCAAAATAATGTTTACTTTTTCCAACTGCATGACCAAATTTTCAAATCCGTTCACTAATAAAAATAGGTAAAAAAACCTCACAATTGCATCTCCCACCTAAACTCGATAGTTCCATAAATCCTTACAGGAGCCATCACTATTACTACAATATAATGTTTTGTTTTAAACTATAATATATAATCAATCAATACTAAAAATACTGTGTTCATGTGTGCGTAATTCCCCGGAACCGAATCCAACAGGGTTGCGAGGTCGCTTAGCTCAGTTTTCCCCAGTCGAAATGTAAAATTCACGACTTTTAAAAAAAATCCACAGAAAAATACCATTTATTTTTTAAGATTACGATTTGTTAGGTATTCTTGGATCTTAAAATATTTTTGTTGAGCGACATTTTTTTCGTATGTCGCTAGATACCCCAAAACGTAAAAGTATTTGTTTCGAATCGAAAGAGGAATAAATACAAAACAAGTACATTACGTAATGTGATTAATAAAATTTTACGTAGTAATACCTCCCCAGTAAAATCGGTATCCCCAAAAGAAATCCCCAGAAAAAAAATATCCTTATCTTCCCCATTGAAATAAAAATCCCCTAATTTTTGTTCGAATCGAAAGATAACGATACTCGTGAAATGTATCGATACACCCAAGTATCGTATATAAAAATATCGATCCAAAATATCGAGTACCAGAAGTTACAGTATCGATATTTCTAAATATCGAATCGTATCGAACATCCCCAGTTTTTATAAAAATTAAAGCCACCCGAAGATAATAGGGAGTTTTCGCATGCCACTTAACGTGCTGCGGTATTTTCTAGGCACGTTATTTAGACAGATACGCATGCTCAGTTGTGGGTTTCAGGATAGCGGGCACTAATTACGATACTGCCTAGCGTAATTTGAGAAGTACGATTTCCCAGTAACATATACACCAAACCCGCAAGATAATAGAAGATATTATGTTCAGAAAAACTGAATAGGCTAACCTGACCATGCATCCCTCCCCTACTCCTCCTCCGTGAAAAGGCATGATGTTTTGTGGTACTATATGCGAGTCAATATCCAAATTAGGCGCCGCGCGGTGTGTAGGCTAACCTAGTGTATAAACAAGTCGCATTTGAAAAACCGAAATTGACACATCGCTAGAACAGTAACGTAGTCATCGATTTGGTGTTGGTTTAATGGTTTATTGATACTCCGCGTCGTCCTCGATGTTTGCATCAAAGCTGCAAAAGTCTTGGTGGACACAGTAGAAGACCTAGACACTCACTGCCAAATATTGCATATTTAAGGAGAAGTATAAAAAAACGTGTTTCAATCGAAGAGCGACAAGTGCTATTTACTACACAATTTAATAGAGAGTGTTTTTCATCAATATCTTTTTTTCGTTTGCGTTGCCGCAAATTAACTTTGTTATTTCGAGCATGTCGTTTCTCTAAACCCAACTTTCAGGACACTCTGTATATTTTCCATCATTCTAACTGCTTAGAGGTAGTACTTGGTTGGTGCATACCTCCTAGATAGGTACTCTTGTATACTTTTAACAGGTCCTTGTGACACTTTTCTAACTTTTTAACTACTTCTTGGATGTGTTTCATGCCGTCATTGTCCCTCATCCTTTTAGTTGAAAATGTTACATGTAATCCTGAAAAGGAAAATATCATGATGTTAGAAATACCATTTTGAGATAGGTATACAGCAAGACTTTCTTGTACACGGCGCATAGTTCTTGTAAAAATATGAAAAATGTTCTATAGTTACAGTCACCGTTCTTGGCGGTTACGTCATCAACGTCATACGAAATAAGTAAACAGATCGAGTCTGCGAACCATGGGCGGAACACTGCGCAGACTGATCTTCGGCGCATCTGCTACTCTCACCAGTACGCATGAAGTGGGGAACAGGGGACCGCTGTTTTCATTCTCTTCCTGGAAATAATCTAATCAAATTTTTGATCGTATTTCCGGGCATTGTACAATTTTATATTGAAAATTGATAACAGAACAACCCAAATTGCAAGTCAAGAAAGTCGTCACTCTGACAAATATGATTGAAGAGCACTCAATCGTAACGACAAAGTTTTGAGACGAAGACACATAACTAAGTCTGAGCTTACCGAACAAACGTTCACACACAGCGATAGGTTTCATGTGTATTTATGAGGGAGATGGAGACATATGAAGGGATACTGGTAGTCTTTACTTTGACCCGCCATGAACGGTGACTACAACGTTATTAGTAACACATACACAGCGTGTGATCCTATGCATAGGGATCCCAACACCTGTGGGAAATACAGCTTTAAATTTTGTGCCCTGTACCCTGAATCTGATGGCATCTTTTTCTACGAATTCAACGATATATCACATGCTAGGACAGACCACATTGTTTTTTGTTTGAAAATTTACATTATCTTCTTACACTGCTGTTTATCATTTCCCTTCTTGATTTATAACAAGCGCAAACGACTTGACAGTAACCCCTGAAAGTAGGCAACCCACACTGCTTTCCCCTCAAGACGCATGCGCGAATATGTTTAGGCACAACTGTTAATTTTTGTTTTGTCTTTTTGTTTTAGAGTATATTTTGAGTTAAATAAAAGTGTTTTAAGTTTTAAGCCTTCATTTACTCTTCGGTATTCAATCTACCGAAAAACTACCGAAAAATTCCTTACAATTCTACCGAAATATCGTCGACTCCACCTGGCAACACTGGTATAATCTGCTAGGTTTAGTTTCTTTCTTCGATAGATGGACTATGCTCCTCTGATGCCCGTATCGTCAATCGTCCCTACAATTGTAGGGCGCCTTTATGGCCTCCTTGATTGTCATAGTTTTCTACTTCTCCGTGTCAGCGCTCTATTTTGAGGTTATGTCACAAACATCTATTTGCATCAAATTGTGCTTGCTTTTGAGTTATATCATGTTGTATCAGCCTTAAATTTCCTACAATTTAAAAAGAAAACATATCTTCACAATAGGAGAGCGCTGACGCTGACACGGGACAACTGTAATCTAGAAATTTTTGAAGGAGAGAAAGGCGTATGACAATCAAGGAGGCCATAAACGCGCCCTACAATTGTAGGGACGACTGACGATACGGGCCTTAGCTACGAATCTTACCTGACTTAGACCATCCAGGAGACACAATAGGCTGAAATGAGACGCACACCCCGAAATCCTCGGCGATTCTTTGCATTAGCCACCTCGTGAACCACAGATCATCTGCCGGCTTCACCCCTCTTTCTCCCACAGTTTTTATCTCCCACTGGGATGGTGCGGGTTCCGCGCAGTCCGAATAAACGTTCACCCCCGCGTACAGCAGCGCCCTGTAGAAACACTCGGCTATCTCTCGCCCGATTGTGGTGCACATTGCGGCATAGTACGCTCCTGAAAATAAAAAGCGCATGGCTTCCGCTTCAGAAGTAAAATATACCTTATAGGGTACAACGGCGGATCCAGGATTTGTGTCTGGGGCGGAGGGGGTCACACTGGTCAAAAATCTTCATGTTTGGGAAGATGTTCTTCTCGTCTTCGTGGGGGGGGGGGGGGATTTGTCCGTCACAGTGGCAAAATGGACATTGACTTTCATTTCTTAGAATTTTTTTTGAAAAATGACGATTTCATTTCTAAAAAAGTGACCGAACGACCCTTTTATTTCTCAATGAGTGGAGGGGTTATTTTTTCATTTTGTGCCTTTAGTGATATATTAGGTTCAGTCTATTTCTGTCTAATAAAGACTCTAATGAGTCTATTACTGTTTTTTCACGTTTTCAATGGTTATAACCATAAACTTTCACAATACTGTGCTTTTCTTGTTTTATGACATTGTTTGAATGTATTATCAATTGCATAGAAGATGAAATTTCAAGAGTGGGAGCTTCTGGCGGAGATATAATGAATGCAGGATCTCTTCTTTCCTCGATGAACTGGACCTTTTTCCTCAACTTGTTCTGGTGACATTCAGTATTGAGCGTAATGAACACTGTGCAGGTTCAAAAGCAAAAGAGAGAAATAGACTTGATGATGGCTCAAAGGTGCATTTCAGCAGCATTAAAAAAATTAAAAGATTTGAGGAGCGAAAGCACATACGATAATTTTGTTCTGGAGGCTAAGAATAAATGGGAGGAGATGGAATGGGAAAATCCTGGTTTTCCCATTGTCAGAAAGAGGAAAATCAAAAAAATGTTCCACGAAAAAGCTGCTGAGTCGCCACTGGAAACACGCGAAAAACATAGAACAAATTACTACGAAGTTTTGGATTCAATGAGTAACGAACGTACTGAAGGATTTCGTGAAGTGAATGATGTGTTTGGTTTTTTGATGCCAGAGGAATTAATCAATCTAAAAAAAAAACGAATTAGAAACCAGTGTCACTAATTATAATTTTATAATAATAAAATATGAATTAGCCAGTTTTACGAGCATGTATTTTTCGGAAAATCGTAATTATACTAATGACAGCCCCCTAGATTATTTGAAGTTAATGATTTCAAACCATTTCGTAGACAGTTTTCCAGATAGCTGCAGTTTATTCATATTGTTTTCGACTTTGCCCTTCGGTTCAGCTAGTGTTGAAGGTGTCGTGAGCTCATTGAAAATAACTAAACAATACCGTCGAGCTTCTTTGGCTAAAGACACACTCAACAACTTCTCTATCCCCTACATCGAAAGATCAGTAGCTAATACACTCAATTTGGATTCTGCGATGGAAGTTTTTGCTGAACGAAAAGCAAGACGCGGATTCAAATTAGAATAATTCTGTTATTTTGTATTGAATAAAATATGTTTGATCTCACAGTTTCTACTTGATTGAGGTTATATAGACACATAGTAAAAAAACAGAGGTAACAGTGCGCAGCAGCTACTATTGTGCATATAATTGTAAGCCCCTGTTAATATGTGCCATCCTTATTGCCAGCAAAATGTGTAGTTCGAACTTTATCTGAACAATTTAGATGGATTTTACGTTATCGAAAAGTTTTAGATCCGCGTGAATATTGAAACAGTTGAATTAGCTGCCTTATTGGCACGTTGAAGCAGCATCAGATTAACTTTTTGCATCAAATTACTGTTAAAAAACCTTTTGCACTATCCATGAGCCTGTTTCGGTTACTGGTGCAGGTCTTTCTAATTTTTTTATTCTCAGTTGCCGTCATTAATTTGCAAATAGCGATAAATGTGGAGAATATCACTTTCGCAAATAGTGCCCAGTATATATCGTGTAGTAATGCACGTTATTTAACGTATTTTAGTGTTGTTCGCCAAGTTTGTATTCAATGAAATATTAATCACGGCAAACACGACAACAACTATCGATCATATTTGTTTCTTTTTCTTAATAATATAAATAGCGTGCATTCCAAATTTGACTCGACGCCCTTTACTTATCGGTAGCATCCGTGACTTTTAAACTCTATTATGCACAAGAAGCTTGCTGGTGATTCAAGTTTAATTTACTTCAAAAAATTACGATGCACATTACAACCTGAGTTATCATGCAACTTTCAAAGTTTTCAATTTCGTATTTTATTTGTCAATAATTGCAGTAATTTATGTTATTCGAAAAACAGTTATAGTGGGCACTATTTGCCGTCTGGTATAATCTGCTAGGCTGCCGTCACAGCTTAAGCGCGCGCGAAGAAGTTTTTCCTACATCCTACCGCATAGGCAACCAGTCTTGCGCTATGAGCTTACAGTTAAATCAAAGTTGACGGATGCAGTGTTGCCAGTGTTTAGTAAAAAATACCAGTACAGCATCCATTTAATATGTGTGCATTACAGATTTGTCTAAGAGATCTGGAACTTTAAAAATTGGTGGCCGAACTGAATTCGCCTGGGGGGGGGGGGTTGGGCATGACCCCCCCTGGATCCGCGCCTGATAGGGTACCCATTTCTTAAGTAACGAGTAGCGTGTTTTTTTTCAAAACATCCTCGAACATTTATTGACTGATCTAATTTGTGAAGAAACATGAAATTTTCGAATTCAATCCGCCACTTTGATTTTATAAAATCGCTATAGATTCACTTCACGGAGACTTCAGATCAGAAACTGATGTCAAACAAAATGCTTACGTCCAGGTATGGGTTCACCCATCGGTGGCCATCCGAAAGGCCTTCCATCACCTCCCATGAGGTAGTAATCTTGCTCAAACGCAATGTGAACTTCATGGTCACATACCTATAATAAACAAGGAAAATTCATTGAAATAAATGAAATACGTGCGACTAATGTTAACACTGGTTCTGTGATAATAACTTTCGTACTGTGACCTGAGCTCAACGACGAACTCGAGGTATGTTTCTTATTTCTTCGCAAGTAGTTACGAGTTTATTTCTTAATCCTTCTATTGTTTCTATGGTAGTAGATGTATCTTGAAAACTACATTTCCGGTCCCACGTTTATAAAAACATTTTTTCATATTTTTCAACAAGAAATCACCCTCTAAAACATCTCCATCTATTTTTCGAACAACCTGTATAATGGTCTGAAAATGTACGTGTGCCTCCCTGATGCTATCAAAAGAATCAACAGTTTAAAGATATTCCTCCGCGAGCATACAAACTTTCTGATATGTAATATTAACCATGTGTGACTTCTAACGGGTGATTTTTTAAGAGGTATAGGATTTGATTTTCAAAAAAAACAACAAAATTTGAAAAAACGATTAAATCTTTATTTGAGTCGATAGAACGGTTGATATTTAAAGATTATTTCATGTAAATGTTGGCCGCGGCTCCGCTTTAGATGGCCCATGCGCAAGGTCCAATTTTGGCGCACTCTCTCCAACATATCGGCCGGTATCTCACGAATAAATACTTCAATATTGGCTTCTAGTGCGTCAATCGTTGCTGGTTTATCCCTGTAGACATTAGCTTTAACATGGCCCCACAAGAAATAGTCCAACGGCGTTAAATCACACGATCTAGGCGGCCAATTGACGGGCCCCAAACGTGAGATAAACTGTTCACCGAACTCGCCTCTCAATAGGGCCATTGTTTCGTGTGCGGTGTGGCATGTGGCACCGTCTTGTTGAAACCACATGTCAGCCAAGTCCAGCTCTTCCATTTTGGGCAAAAAAAAGTTTGTTATCATCGCACGGTAGCGCTCGCCATTCACAGTTACGTTCCGGCCATTGTCGTCTTTGAAGAAGTACGGCCCGATGATGCCACCGGCCCATAATCCACACCAAACAGTGATTTTTTCGGAATGCATTGGTAGCTCTTGCAATGCTTCTGGCTGGTCTTCACTCCAGATGCGGCAATTTTGCTTGTTAACGTACCCATTCAACCAGAAATGAGCTTCGTCGCTGAACACAATTTTTCGATAAAAATGTGGATCTTCCTCCAACTTTGCCAGCGCCCATTCACCAAATGGGAAACGTTGTGGGAGGTCGTGTGGCTTCAGTTTTTGCACCAGCTGTATCTTATAAGGTTTTACACCCAAATCCTGTCGCAAAATTTTTCACGTAGTGGAGTAACAGAGGCCAATTGCTGCGAACGGCGGCGAATCGACATTTCACGGTCATCACTAACACTGGCGGATACAGCCGCAATATTTTCTTCAGTCCTCACTCTACGTCTGCGTGTTGGTGGTTTAATGTCCAATAATGTAAACTGGGTTCGAAATTTATTCACAAGCTTCCCAATAGCTCCCTCAGTAGGCCGACCAAATTGCCCATAAATTGGAAGCAGTGCTCGATGCACTCTCTTAACCGAGCATGAATTTTGATAGTAAAATTCAATAATTTGCAAGCGTTGTTCGTTCGTTAGTCGATTCATGGTTAAATTATAGACCAAACTGAACAAGTTTGACAATGACAAAAGACACGATTCACGCGTCATCTGTCAAAAACAGTGTTGCCAAAAAGATACTAGCAAAAAAATCACCCATTAGTTAGATTTATAGTTTAAAGTTAACTTTGTCATTAAGAATGATTGTATTCTTCAGGCAATAAAGCATGTTTATACGTATCTATCAATATAAAGTGAAACCCAAAAAATATATTTAAACAGAAAAATTCGATCAAATGCTGCGGATATTTTTCAAATTGACTGTTACCTTGTTTAAGGCTTCCACACATTTCTGCCGATGGTTCGTTTTGCAAGGTTTCTCATCGGCATTGAATGTTTCGCACAGTGCTATTTTGTTTATTCCACGTCGTATAGGATCATTATAGAGAGCTACCGGAACGAGGAAATAGTCACTTTTTTCCTCCGGTGCTAAAATCAGACAGTATATTTGCATATCAGGCAGTCATAGTGCAAATTTTCATCAAGTCTGACAGTTAAAACGTAGAGAAAAGAAAATCTTCCAAAAAAATTAAGACTGTCATCGTAATGCGCCATCTATTACCAGAATTGACCACTACGTGTATTGGCTCGAACTGTAAAGACCTCAGTTCGTGTTTGATAGCCCAGCCACCACTATGACCGCTAGAGGCTGACAATTATGACGGTAATTTTGGTGTGGTGTTCTATTAAAAGCTTAATAACTCAAAATCTAGTGCTTTAATCTGAATCAAACCTTATAGCAAAAAAAAGCTTATAAGGCATTGAATCCAAACTTACACAAACATACAGGGTTTGAAATGTTTGAGAAAAAGTACAATTCGCGTTTTTGACCACTCTGTATGAGCAAAAATGGAAATTCAAAAAAGTAACAAATAAGGTAAAAGCTGAGGTACGTAAGTTTTTTCTGATAAAAAATTCAGCATTCCAAATTTCAAAATGTCGGATTGCGGGGTTGCCGCAGTGGACGGTTTTTCTGGACAAAACACCTTACGTCTCGGTAGCTAATTATCAAAACCGCATAGTATGTTATATCAATTCTCTTCTTTTGAATTGGTTTATCTAAATGTGCAATAAAATTTGAGGCATTCCATTTGAAAAATCACTCATAAATAGATTTTCCCAAAATGTATTTGTTTATGAGTAATATTCCGCCCACACATGGATGGACCACCCTGTATATCCCTTCAAATAAATCTGAATCAACTAATACTTTTTGTCATTGAAAAAAGGTGAACCTTTGATTCCGTACCTTCCATCGTGAGATACCCATTGAAGGTCCATATTGGAACTTCTTTATGGGTACTAGGTGAAAAATCCAAGGTGCGGGTCTTGCACCTAAGATTCCCTCCAGTATGATCTATCCACAGATATGTCAGCTGAACCTTGCCCTCAGGCATCGGTAGACACATATATCTACAATGAAAATCGAATAAAATATACCTAAAATCAGATGTATTCACAACAATATTTGTAAAAACATTAAATTGTCTATATGCTTTAGCCCAAATCGCAAATATTTCATTTCTTGTTTTAAAATGAAAGATTAGGATGTAACTTGTACAAAAATATCAATTTTTCTTTATTTTATAGAACTTCAAAGTTGCATTTTGAGTGGTAATGCTGTGTTATAGAATACTGCTTTATAAGCTGGTTTTTTCTTGTTTACACAAAAGAATGCTCAACATCGTATAAATATAACATAAACTGTATATTACTGTGACACTGTTCATCGCAACAATGTAATTTTATATTATTTTAATGATGAAAATAGAACATCGTTAAGTAGTCATTTCTTCAGATAAATATTCCCATCACTATACCACCATCACTATCATAATTTCTGCATCTAGTTGCGATGTTGCCAAACCATGGATAGTAATATACTTTGATTTGGATTGTCAAATTCTTACTTATACTATATACTAGCGCAAAAATGTGCAGTCGGCTCTTGATTGCCAAGAAAACGCTGTTGGGAGGTGTGACCAACAGGTTTTTCTGTACTAAATCTACCTCGTGTCCTACGATAGCGAATACATTTTTTTGAAGAATGCTGAATACTTCGATTATTGTTTTTCCTATATTATATAATCTATTTACTCTTTGTATGTATGTACTAATGCTAGTTTACCATTGCAATTATACTTCCACTGCTGAACCTCGTCAATCGAAAATATCTGTTAACATCATAGGGTTGGAATCGCTGTCCCTCAAAATAACTAAGAAGGACTTTTCAAATTTCTTGTACCTTTTTAAACAGTCATTCAACAATCATTATACATACCCACGATGTTGACTGGATTTTAATACAAAGGATTGATGATCGTTTCGATTCAGTACATAACCATATTTGATATAAAGAATATAAAAATTACAATTTGAGATTAAAATACTTGATGACCTACCTGTCGTAGACTGTTTTGTCAAGTTCAGCATTCGGGGCATTGCATAGTGATCCAGTAAGCACATGTGTTTTGTGAAATTGTCGAACAGTTCTGGCACTAACGAAGTATTTGAATTTAGTCAACGGTCTGAAGAATAACATTATTATGTGCTGGGATCTGTCATCAATGTTCTTGACAGCTTTTAGACAGGGCCTTACATCAAAGCTAGCTAGCCTACTTTCCTCAAAATCGAAAGATACAAACATGTGTCAGATCAAGCTAGGGTAGAACGTCAGCGAAGATTGATCTTGGAAGCTCACAAACCAGGTTTCTGCTAAAGATAATATCTTGTTGACAATGATGAATTTAGAAAAATCATGAACAAATTGAGTCTCGTATTTTGAGTCAGTAGCCAATAGCTTCATAGTATCTCATACCCATACAAAATAAATGACTATGTTTATGTTTATTTTCAGAAACTGGAACGAAAATATCATTTTTCTTTAAGGAACCCTCTGCTTGTTATTTTATAGAACTTCAAAGTTGCATTTTGGGTGGTAATACTGTGGTTATAAGCTGTTTTTTCCTTCTTTACATAAAAGATTGCTCAAAATTATATGAATATAACATACCCTGTAAGTTACTGTGACACTGCACATCGCAATAACGCAATTTTGCATTATTTTAATGATGAAAATAGTTCATTGTTAAGTAGTCATTTGTTTTATTTCAGATAGATATTCCCATCACTACACTACCATCACTATCATACTCTCTCCATCTAGTTGCGATGTTGCCAAATCATGGATAGTAATCTACCTTAATTTGGTTTGTCAAATTCTAACTTATACATACTAGCGCAAAAATGTGCAATCGGCACAGGATTGTCATAAAAATGCGATTTGGAGGTGTGGCCGGCAGTTTTTATTGTACTAAATCCACCTCGTGCCCTACGATAGCGTTAGACGATGACACTTTTTGTGAAGAATGCTTTATGCCCTCCTGAAAAGTACTTCGGTTATTGTTTTTCCTATATTATAGTTATAATCTATTTACTTTTTGTATGTATGTACTTGAAAAATTACTTAAAGTGAAGCTGATGTCACAAAATATACCTAATTGAATGTGATATATATGAGAAATAACTGAAAAAGTAGGTGTTGCCAATCACTAAATAATGAAAACATAACAAAGAACATTGTCAGTTTTTTGATGATTTGATGAAATGATCGTTGATCTTTATTTAACTGTAGTATTGGATGATGATATGTTGGGTGGACCTGGCGAGGTGGTCCAAATCGACGAATCGTAGTTGGGTATTTTTATATGCAATGACCGCTGGTGCCCTTTGTATTTTTTATGTCACCCGAGCCGCTGGTGCATTTTCCACTGTTTAGACACATACTGTTCAAAATTTCTTCTAGTTTTCGGTAAATGTTGGGACAACTTCTCATAAAACAAGCCATTTACAATGAATTAAGGCTTTTATTTTGCAAATAATATCATTTTTTATTACGTATTCCTCCCAAGAAAGGTACAACTTGGCAACAATGGACATCATTTATCTGATCTGCCAAGAAATGAACGTTATAAAATGGCAACTGAGAATTGTTCATACTTTCAAATATTTCTTATAAACGCAAAAACTTTCATCTCATTGGAAATACGGCGTATAAAACAGTATTCTATTCTAGAGTAGGTATTACTTCCAAAACTGCAACTTTGAAGTTCTATAAAATAGCAAGCAGAGGGTTCCTTAAAAAATAATATTTTCGTAAAAGTGACATCCTAATCTTTCATTTTAAAATAAGAAACGAAATATTTGTGATATGCGCTAAAGTATACCTAGTCTTACCATTGCGGGAAGTTAAAAATTCGATAAGTTGAGTTATAGTCAACTTTCGAAAAATTTGAGATATCACTATTTTCAGGATGGTCCAAAGATCAAAAAGATGCATAGAAAAATTTCCAAGATCAAAAATTGAAAATCTGACATAACCCCACACTTTGCTAAAAACATGACTTCGTTTGCTCACCCTATATAAGTCAATAAATAAAAAAAATATACCGGTAAAACCCTGTGCGTGTTCTCAAAGACTTGGTCACGAACCTCTTTAATATCGCAACTCGATATCTCTTCCCGTTCCGAAAATATCGAGATTTGAATATTTGGGTAAAATTTTCCATGTTGCAAAGCACCTGGCCACCAGTTTAGTTAGGTAGAATGCGGAATATAAATAGACTATTTTTCGTCTTAAAAATCTCGACCAAAAGGTTTTTAACAATGCTGCTTCATCCGCAACACTTCAAATATGACGAAAAATAACATAACGAGAGCCAGCTTTATCAAATTATCAATGATCTTTGAGGATACATTTATTAAAAAATTCCAGATTACTGGCTCAATTCCAAAATATATGGTTCGACTGTAATAATGACAGTAATTGTTGAAACATTGTCCCCATGAAAAATCATATACAGTAAGATGTTACTGCAAAATTGGAATAGACTTTCAAATATTTTGAATCATTTTGCAAAAATATTCGAAATAAACTGGCACTCTAATAGTAACAGTACAAGATCAAATTCGGCTGTATATAGCAATAGTTTTTTTTAGTAGGTACCTAGTTAATAGATCCGTTCAACATAATTTCAAATAAGAAGAGATTTCACGTATTATCTACCGTTGATATTTCCAGGATAAATACGCATTACATTTGCTATTGAGAATGTTTGTGTAATATTGCTTTAACAAGCGTTTATACTTTATTGGAACTGCGCAAAGGGATTTCGACGTTATACAACTATAGTTTAACGCAGACGTGCCCTAATATACTGATTTGATGGCCGGCTGGATATAAGAAATATGGTGCATTCACCAAAATTTTAAAAGAGAAAATGTTTCTTGTCTCATCTGCCGTTGATATTTCCAGAATAATTACGCATTATAGTGGCTATTAAGGGAGTTTGTGTAATATGTGTTTAACAGGCGTTTATACTTTATTGGGACTGTGGAATGTGAATTCAACGTTATACAAATATGGGTTAAGGCACACGTGCCTAATATACTGATTTGGTGACCGGGTGGATACAAGAAATAAGGCGCATTCACCAAAATTTTAAATGAGAGGTTTCTTGTCTCATCTACCGTTGATATTTCCAGTATAAATACGCATTATAGTGACTATTAACAAAGTTTGTGTAATATGTGTTCAACAGGCGTTTATACTTTATTGAGACTGCGCAAAGTGATTTCGACGGTATACAACTATGGTATAACGCAGACGTGTATAATATAGATACTGATTTGATGGGCGGGTGGATATAAGAAATATGGGGTATTCACCAAAATTTTAAATGAGAGGTTTCTTGTCTCATCTACCGTTTATATTTCCAGTACAAATACGCATTATAGTGACTATTAACAAAGTTTGTGTAATATGTGTTCAACAGGCGTTTATACTTTATTGGGACTGCGCAAAGTGATTTCGACGGTATAAAACTATGGTATAACGCAGACGTGCCTAATATACTGATTTGATGGGCGGGTGGATATAAGAAATGTGGGGCATTCACCAAAATTTTAAATGGGAGGTTTCTTGTCTCATCTACCGTTGATATTTCCAGTATAAATACGCATTATAGTGACTATTAACAAAGTTTGAGTAATATGTGTTCAACAGGCGTTTATACTTTATTGGGACTGCGGAAAATACGTCCATACCACACCAAACACCGCACCAAACGCGCAATGTAAATCAGTCAGTTATATACTGGCCACCCTGTATTGACAATTTTGAAGAGCGACCAAAAGATTTCAATGGTAAGCGATGTAAATTATTAAATGCTTTTTCCTGAGTGTGATTACTAACCTAAGATTGTCCATATACTTACCAGAATTTGACGTTTTCTCCTAATTTGTGACCAAACCCCGATATAGACAAAAACGCTCAAATATGTCATTTGTTGACCTCCGATTTGTGTAATACTTATAAGGTTTTGAACCCAAGAATGTTAAGCTTTTTTTATACTACCTATTTATCGCATGTTACTGTTGGTTATTTGGCAATAAGCATTATTATATATCCATCTCTCACGCTTGCATATTCCATGAGCCAACAGACATACAGGTACGTTTTTAACTTTTGTCTCACCGCCATAAAATTTTAATCAATTAATTAATTTTCATTTTTTTAATACATAAGAGTGCCTGAAGCTCCCAACTACAATGTCGACAGTCTGTATTAGAAGTGTTGTAACGCTTACCTAATTGAGACCTTGAATGGTGAAAAGTTACCCTCCTAAATTTAGGCAACCAGGGTTACACCATCGTGTACCGCAGCTTGCGAAGCTTCGAGAGCGATTGCGTTCACGTGTGCGAGCGATCGAGAGCGAATGTTCTGGAGAGCTTCTGGTTTGACCGATTTCAAATATGGGCGCGACGACAGTGAGCGAGCAGCGATTGACGCGTCAATATAGTCCAGTGGAGATTGTTATAAACATGTCATGAATTAGTTGCAAGAGTTCCAACTTAATGTAGAGCAATAGATTACATTTTGGAAAGTAAAAACGGTGTTTTTGTTACAGTATTTTCATGTATGTGTGCAAGAGCGAGTAGCAGCTGAGTAACGGACTGGCTTGCGCAATGTACAATGTTCCTTAGAAAAGTTAAGTTACGCACATGGTACTATAAGCCAACCTGTGTATTAATTTTGTAAGACATTGCGACAATAAATATAGCATTTTTTCAAAATGAGTAAAGAAGCTGAACTTGGTGCAAGAGCCCTGTTTTGAGAGGGGGCCTACTGTTGCTTCTTTCCTGTTTAATCAGTGTTTGTGTACAAAAGACAAAAGACCTAGTATTTGACCTGTATGAAATATTATTTATATATTTTTGGTTTTATTTGAAGGATCAGATTCTTATAGCAGATAATGAGATCCTAATAGATGATGATTCTGATAGGCTTTTTATGCGGTCTTCTTTGCGGTTTCCTCTTGTGGCTAGCTAAAAAAAAAATCAATAGCTTATGAACTCATAGAAAAATCATTATAAAATCAATTCAGATGTGAGTATTCATCATTTTTCATCATTGGTGATTATTAAATTATGCTATACAGTGCCGGCCAAAGTTGCTTTCTCTTTTAGATTTGCATGTTTTTGAAAGAGGGACAGAGAAAATAGTGTGCCCTCGAGGAACAAATGTTACATAGAAGACCCCCCTTAAAATGCGGTCCTGTGTATGATGTTTCATTTTTGGTCACGACTGTCGTTGCTAAGCAACGTGGTGACGACGCTTGTATGACTCACTCTTTCTAACCCTCTTCTCTCTCTCTCTCGTACACATAGAAACCTGGAAGGGAACACAACTTTGGCCAGCACTGTATGATGCACCATTCCGTACACACTACATTATTGGGAACTTCATATTTACGTTTAGTTGGACGAGTTGTAATAGGCGAAGTTATGTTATAAATTAAATTGACAATCCCAGCGTCTAATCCAGACTTTTCTTGAATCCAGTCTAGGTATTTGGATACGTCGGTATAAATGCCCAACATCCCGGGTGACGCACATCGAAATCCGTACGATACAATACCTAAAAAAATGCAATATATCTGCGACACTAATTTTTTTGATTTTTTTACCTAAAAGTACGTATAATCCTTGCCCATTTTGCACTTGAAGTGGCCCTCCGCTGTCTCCCTAAAATAATAACCAAACAGATTTTTCAACAGTCTGTCGCTATTGTGTATCTTAATGTCAAATTGACAGGGAATTTGGAATTTATACACTGGATTTGCTTTCAAGAACATCACGAGTATGAAGTGGCTTTCAAAAATGCGCTTATAGGAAACACTTAAAATATTATAGGACCTTTGTAGGGCAAAATTAAGCACCATTTACGAAAATTGTCAGTTTATAAATGTTTCTCCTTCTTGTCTGAGTAGCTTCGCACTATGATATATTTATTAAAACTTCAAAAAAAGTTCATTTGTATGTAGATAATTTTATTTTGCTCCTGATTGTACTAAATATACTGAGTGACGAAAAAGATAAACACTTCGTATGTTGATCCGATATTAATAATTTTTGGCTTATATGTATATATACAGGGTGACTTCGAAGTTGAGTCATTTATTTTAACAGTGAGTAGATCTGATCAAAAGAAATGTTTTTTTCCTTTAACATTTTCCTGGTAAAATTAAAGTAACAACGTTATAGCCCTTTAGAAGTTTGAGTACCGCCCTGTCTCAATAATAATATTATGTGCTCGTGTTTGGCAACAACGGATATAATCCGCCTTATCCGTTCGTCGCATCGGAAACAAAAAAGCGAAAGAATTTGAAACGATGTTTTTACTACAATGTACAATTTTATTCAGTTGTATTCAGTCGATGTGTCAGTCGGTAACGCGTGAGTGAATAGTGGTTTTTGTTGCGTGGCTCAAACGAAATAAAAAATGGCACATGTTTACGAAAATGCTGAATGTAGTACAAAGGGCTCGTGAAACAGGTGACTTAAGACCTCACAGGGGAGGGCATGCCGGTGCTCCAAGACCGCACGATCAAATACAGGACCTCACTGAAATACTTGTCGGGAGGATACTTTATAAAACAAGGTAACATTTTTTTTATTTTTTTTTTATTTTTACACACATATTTTGGTTTATGGTTTATCTTCCTTCTACAATCATTATCTGAAAATTAATGACTCAACTTCAAAGTCACCACCGCACCACCGCATATATATATATATACAGGGTGTCCGCAAAGTTGGGGTTTTCCTTTTCAGAAACAACTACCCTTGAAATAACAAAGGTAATGTGTACTGAAACGAGGGCGACAAAGTAAAAAAAAATAAAGGAAAAAGTACTCACTCTCCAGTTGACGAGAAGGGCTAAGTACGTTTCTGTCCGAAATCATACCGCTCCAACAGAAAATGAAATCAGCTGATGCGCTACCGAGCAGACGCAGAAACCACATTGATTGTCTTACACTTAATGGCACATCTTCTAACAAGGAAGGCAAAATGTTGCGTAAAAACTCTAGGTATTGCATCCCGTCCAATCGATTTGGGAGAATAAATAGTCCAATGAGCATACCGTTCACCATGCCAGCCCAAACATTCACCGAAAATGTTTGTTGAAAATGTGCCCGACGGACAGCGTGCGGATTTTCTACTGACCAAACATGAGTGTTGCGAAAGTTATTCACCCCATTACGCGTGAACGTAGATTCGTCTGTCACTAATATGCACTTCAAAAAGTCCGGATTATTGTCATGTTGATGAAACAACCACTCACAAAACCGCACTCTTGCTGGAAAATCGTCAGGTTGAAGGGCTTGTACACGTTGGACGTGAAACGGATACAGCCCCTCTTCACGCAGCGTTTGCCACACTTTAGTTTTTGATACTTGCACTTCTCTAGCCACGTCTCTAGTGCTTGTTGAGGGATTCTCGTCTACGCCATTACCTCTACACGCGTGACCGTAACCGTCGGTTGAAGGTTGCATACCCACCTGTACACACTGACCCCGACCCAGTTCTGTCGTCGGGTTGAGCCAGTGACCTTGTACCAGTCGGTGATGTCGCGGCTACAGGACGGTATTCAGATATTTTTGATGTTGCAGAGCCCTTCATCTCGGTTCCCTTAAGACATTGGTGTATATGGTACTAAGAAAAATTGCTTGTTTTCAAGATCTACACGTCATGTGAAGGAAAACCCCAACTTCGCGGACACCCTGTATATATATATACTGTTTGAAGTCTGTTAGTTTTCGAATGTTTGCAGATGATGTCAAATGAATAGAATGGAACTTAATGTGGAAAAATGTCATTTAATGGTCTTCAGCCGTAACAGGGACCCCATTGATCATACTTATACCATGAAAGGTTGTCCTCTAAAGAGTGTATCCCAAGTTAGGGTTTTAGGGGTAATTTGTTGGAACCCTGCCACGCCGCTACTGGCGAGACGACCAGACACGTCGCCTAACCTTGAAGCTTGTAACAGCCGTCGGTCCACGCGCGCCGCACTAGGAATGCAGTCAGTCGTAGTCTAATGCCCTCTCCAGACTCACGCGCGATTCGCGCGCGAAGCCGCGATCCATGAGTGTGGATCCCATTCACGTATTCTTCGCGGCTTCACGTCGCGTTCGCGCGTTGTTCCCGTTTGTTGTCGGTTTTTTGTCCCGCGACAAAGGGTTCGCAAAGCGCGAACATGACTAGGCTCCACATTCGCTGGTGGTTCAGTTGCCTCATAGCGAGTGTCGGGAGTGGTTGTGTTTTTTCCACTTATTTTCAATTGCTCTAGTTTTACTTATATATGCGTAATTATAAAATGCCAAAGCGCAAAGTAGCACTGCAGCAGCAGTAGCAATTTCACCATCCATACTCGTCAAGACCGCGAACTATACTGTGAAGCAGGTGCGAACATCTGCGAGTGTGGAACTGTAGGAAGAAATTTCGGGATTCGCACCGCGATTTCACGCCGTGATTCGCGCGTGAGTCTGGAGAGGGTAATAGTCAGTTGTAGGAAGCAGTTGAAGAACAACAGCAGCCGACGCACTTGCGCGGATCGCGGAAGCCCGGTATACACCTGTCGCGTATCTACACATTCATGTACAAGTACTCAATAAACTGTTCTGAACGGAAGACCACTGCGAGTTGAATTGCTTTGCTTACCTATCCTCAACATAATTCTTGACCCAAAATTATCTTTTATTACCCATATAAATATGATTGTTTCTAAATCTCTTCAACTGCTGGGATTTATTAAACGATGTGCTAAGGATTTTGGTCACCAAACTATAATGTTCATATTCAGGCAATTGAGAGAGTGCAACATTCAAACAAAACATTATAGTTGAAGATATTATCTATTCCGTCATTGAAAGCTCTCTCAATATCTCAACCCTTCAGGTAAGACGGAATCAGAGGGACCTGTCACTATTTTATAATATTTTGCACCCTCTTAGTTTTGCTCCAGAACTTTTGAAAAATATTAATCTCCATGTGCCTCCTCGTCAAACAAGACTGAATCAACCATTCCATGTGAGATCATTTCGTACTAATTATGCTAGTAATTCCTTCCTGCCAAGATCTTCAAGGTTAGCAAATCAGTATTCTAATAAGTTGGATTTCTTCAGAAGTCAGAAAACATTCAAAATTCGCTTAGATTCCTGTCTGTAATATTTAATATTTGATTTCCCCATATATTTATATTTTAGTTAAATTCGTTTCAATTTAGAAATGGTCTGGATTGTAAAGTGTTTGTGATTGTTTTAAGTGTTGAATATCTAAGTCAAAGTAGAGTTAGGTTTACATTAGATTTTCTATGCTACACTTTAATTGGGCAGTCGCTCGTTGATAAATATATAAATAAATAAATATTCTGCTTGATTCGTCAAGTGACTGCAGAAGCTGGTTCAATAATGTGTTGAGGATCCACGATTTCTTATACACTCATTGACACGCCTGATGAGGTGGTCAATATCCTGGTGAGGTATCTCATTCCAGGCAAATTCAAGAGCCTGCGACGTATCATGTCCCAGACATATTCAATTGGAGATGGGTCAGGCGATCGTGGTGGCCAAGGTAAACGGTTGATGCCATGAAAGCTAACGATGCTCTGGAAACATGGTTTTTGATGGTACTTAGGTATGCATTAAGATGAGGCTTTACTACTTCCTGAATATAGCGTTAGGCTGTCATATTGCCTCTGGTGAAAAATAGTGGTGATGTGCTACCGTAAGCAATAGCACGCCATACCATAACTCCCACGGTGTGGTGAACGTCTCTGTAAATTTTTTTCCTACCTGACAGGTATCGATACCACCCTGAGTATACCCAGCGCAGAAAGCATTCTTAAAACTGTTCAAATCGTTCCCAGTCTTGTTGATCATTGCTAGGCAATCAGAATCATTAAAAATCAACAGCCTAGCCTCATGAACTGTGCACGGCATGGCACCTCTGTATCGCAGTGTGCCTAGACCTGGCACATAACCATCTTTGTATCTCTTTGACATTTCTACAAAAACATATTCAATTACTTACTCAATAGGAAATACAATGTTTTTGTAGGTATTTTGTGATTTTTTCTATTGAATCATAAAGTACCTATGGAAAAACATATTAGGTACATAGCTACCTCGGCTTAGTTACAATATTTAAAATTTTTGAGATGATTTTATGGAGAAGAAATTATTTAAAATCAGTAAAGAAATACCGCGACCAGGGTAGGAAGATGTATTACTTATCACTGTGAATTAGATCGCATTGAAATGATTTGAGCAAATATAAGAAACTATGTGGCTTCAAACAATAGAACATTCAAATTTTCTGACGTGAAAAATTTGTTTTATGAGCTGTCAACAGAGTGACGGCAAACCATTGGAAAGATTCTGGATCTGGACAATATCATCGATATTCAAATTGAACCTGTAAAATTAATATTAACCATTCGGACGATAGTTCAAGTACTTCCAGCAAATAAAGAATTGTGAAAAGTATATGCACTTCTTGTATAAAAATAATCATTTATCTTGTTGGATTATTCCAAGACCATTGAGGACAATACGGACCTGTTCAATCTCGCTTTTGCGCATGTTGTGTTTTGACTGGGCGTAAATAGACTACGAATGGGGTGTATACCATGTGATCTAACACCATTGAATTACTTTTTATGTTGTTATTTAAAGTTAAAGCATTCAGTCTTATGAGCCCAATATATGCAAAATGGTTATAAAGTATAAAACGTAAAAAAACAACAAAATGTCAGCTTGCTGCCTAGACAGTTCCTAGTGTGCAAATAGCAGTGCAAAAAAGCCGACATAATGTCACTGTTGAAGATACGTAATGCCCCTGCCGATCTATCTTATACTGGGTACTTTGTGACACAATAAAAAATAAATATCTAAAGAAAACAATTGTGTTTTATATTTAATCAAAATCTAACATGAGTATCGACACATCTTTTATTTCTAACCAGAAATCCTTACCAAATTGTGGAAGGCAGATTGGTCTGAAGCTACGAGTTTCATTTGCTAAAGTTAGCAAGCATATATCGTAATATGGTTTTTTCTGATTGTATAACTCGTGTACTTGCACTTTTTCCACCCTGTATTCTGTTTGAATCGATTCAGTGGTACAAATATTGTAAACGCCTAGTTTCACGTTGTAGATCGATTCTAACTTAAGATCCCCTTTACTGAAAGATAAATTCTAATCAATGTCAACCCCAGTCACTTGAAATAAAAGCAGCATGTTTTACCTTGCCAAAGTCAGGAACTCTTTGTAGCAATGTGCCGCTGTGATTACAGTTCTTGGACCAATCAGAGCCCCTCCGCATGACACTTCATTGTACCTAACATAAACATAATATTAGGGGCGAATTTTTTTTGCGGGAAAAAATGAAAAATTTGGATTCGTGATGTATGTGTTGGTGAGAAATAATTTCATTGAAAAAGAATTTTTCCAACACATACAAAGTAATTTTTTCTTTTACAGTAAGAACGGGATTGGGTAGAAAAATAGAATAGAACTACAATGTTTAGTGCACTAGAGGCCCAATATTATTATTAATTGTTCGTTCAAGGAATTGCTTTCCAACCAGAGTATGCTTTGCACTTCAACTTACCTAATCAAAGCTGCAAACCAGGGATAACGATAGTAGCCCACGTCATATCCTCCGACGATTCTATCTGATGGAAAATTGTTTCCCCCTAAAGGCTTTCCACAATTAGGAGCTGTAAACATTGGATCTGATAGATCTCTCTTATTGATATTTCTAACAAACACACTAATGCGTATATCACGTTGAAGAACTAGCAGTCCAAGAGTTTGGCTCGTTTTAAAAACTAAACCATGAAAGAGTCTGAAACTTCTTGTTTTACTGAGCGTTACATTGGAACATATACTGTCGTTCCTACCACCTCTGTGGCTTTTTTCAGAGTAGCTGATATCTGCTGTTTCTTAAAGCAAACCCCATAAACGCGGAGTTCACCTGCGATAGAATCATACCATAAGTTTCACACGTTACATTATGAAACAGTCCGAATTTCCGCCTTGCAGGCAGCGTTTGCCTACATATAGGAGGAGGCACCCAAAAATAACTGGAATAGCATTGCAGTGGGCGGAGCTTGTGTAGTACACATTTCTGCCCCTAGAGGCGTACAGCGCAACTCTCTACCAGTTCAGAGTCACCTGAGTTGTCGATCTGGCTTGTTTCGTTCTTCTATAGTTATTATTTTTGCTAGAGCCGTTTCGTTTTTTTCGATGGCAAGCTTCAATGAGCAACGTGCAGCTAAGGAATTTTGCTTTCTAATTGGTTGGATTGGATGAAAAGGAGCATGAAAGGACGCTGCTTTAACGACATTGCAGAGGTCAGAAAAATAACTGGAATAGCATTGCAGTGGGCGGAGCTTGTGTAGTACACATTTCTGCCCCTAGAGGCGTACAGCGCAACTCTCTACCAGTTCAGAGTCACCTGAGTTGTCGATCTGGCTTGTTTCGTTCTTCTGTAGTTGTTATGTTTGCTAGAGCTGTTTCGTTTTTTTCGATGCCAAGCTTCAATGAGCAACGTGCAGCTAAGGAATTTTGCTTTCTAATTGGTTGGGTTGAAAACATGTTTCGAGCGGTGGACGTATCGGTGGGACAAGTGTATTAGTTGTAGTGGACAGTATTTTGAAGGAGATAAGGTTACTTTGTGAAAAAGTTGAAAATAAATAACTTTTAAAGAATAATTCCGGTTTTTTTGGGTACCCCCTCGTATATGTATACCTAAAAGAGATCCATGGATAAGAAGACAATATAAAGAAATATGAAACTCATTCGTACAAGATCACGCTTCTTTTGGCAAAAAGCTAAAAGAGTTTGTTCAGATTGTAGACTGAATATTTAAAAATGGTTTATTTTGATTTCTCCTGCATATAAAATCTGTTCTTGGCATTTTAGCTAAAATGTTTTCTCACAGAAAGAGGATTTAAGATTACGCTTCGAAAAGTTTCGAAATACAAACATTATTGATAAAATTTGTTGTATACTTATAGAATCACCTTTAAAACTTCATGAAATCAATAATTATTAGATTATGTACTTACCATTATGAGCAGCTTCCAGCAAAACTGGATGAAACCATAACCCAAATACGCAATATACCAAAGCTCGATTCATATTCACGACAAATGTGTTTTACGTTACCTTTGTTGTTATCGACTAAATACCATAAATTCTTGCATAAAATATTTACCCCTCAGAATTTCCGAAATTATCTTTACGAATACTTAATACAAAAGCATTCGCGCATATGTATTGAGAACAACATATAAAATTTAAACAAAATATTTCAAATACTATAAAAAAGTGAATTATTTCATGGAAAACAAAATTCAAGGTAACTACAAATTTTAAAAATTTTCATTATTAACATTTTCATAGTTATCAAAATTTTCAAATTTCCAAGGTGTTCAAAGTTTTCGAAGTATTCAAATTTTTTTGAATTCAATAAATCTTCGACATATTCAAAATGTTATGATTTTCCAAATTTTCAAGTTTTTCAATTTCTATCATTTTCAAGTTTTCAAGTTTATCAAATTTTCAAAATTTCTATAAACCATAAAAAAGTGGATTATTTCATAGAAAAAAATCCAAGGAAACTACATTTTTTTGAATTTTTTAAATCTTCGACATTTTCAAAATGTTAGAATTTTACACATTTCCAAAATTTTCAATTTCCAAATTTCCATAATATTTGAATTTTCAAGTTTATCAAACTTTCAAAATTTCTATAATTTTCAACATTTCCAAAATCTTGGAGATTTCCAAATTTCCAAATTTTTCAATTTCCAAATTTTCAAGTTATCGATTTTTCAAAATTTCTATAATTTTCAACATTTTCAAAATATTCAAGATTTTCAAATTTCCAAATTTTTCAAGATTTTCAAAGTTTACAATATAGAAGAGTGCTATATAGAACGTATATTTATTGAGAACATCATATAAAATTATAACAAAATATTTTAAATACCATAAAAAAATGAATTATTTCATAGAAAAATATCCAAGGAAACTAAATTTTTTTTTGAATTTCTTAAATCTTCGACATTTTCAAAATGTTAAAATTTTACTCATTTCCAAAATTTTTCATTTCGAAATTTACATAATTTTCAAATTTTCAAGTTTATCAAACTTTCAAAATTTCTATAATTTTCAACATTTTCAAAATCTTCAAGATTTTCAAATTTCCAAATTTTTCAAGATTTTCAAAGTTTATAAAATAGAAGAGCGCTATTTAGAACGTATATTTATTGAGAACATCATATAAAATTATAACAAAACATTTAGAAGTGAATTATTTCATGGAAAACAAAATCCAAGGTAATTACAATTTTCAAAATTTTCTAAATTTCCAGAATTTTCAAACATTCAGAATATTCAAATTTTTGAGATTTTCCAAGATTTTCAGTATTCAAATTTTCAAGATTTTCAAAGTTTATTAAATAGAAGAGCGCTATATAGAACGTATATTTATTGAGAACATCATATAAAATTATAACAAAATATTTTAAAGTGAATTATTCATGGAAAACAAAATCCAAGGTAATTACAATTTTCAAAATTTTCTAAATTTCCAGAATTTTCAAAACTTTCAGAATATTCAAATTTTTGAGATTTTCCAAGATTTTCAGTATTCAAAATTTTCAAGATTTTCAAAACTATCAATATTTTCAAAGCCTTCAAAATTTCGAAAATTTTAAGAATTTTAAGGAATTTCCAAAATTTTGTAATTTTCCAAATTTCCAAAATTTTCAACATGTCCAAGATTTTCAGTTTCCAAATAATTTTCGAATTTTGAAGTTTTTCAAATTGTCTAAATTTCCATAATTTTCAAATGTTCAAAGCCTACAAAATAGTAGAGTGCTCGTGTATATTTATTGAGAACATCATATAAAATTATAACAAAATATTTTAAATACTATAAAAAAGTGAATTATTTCATGGAAAACAAAATCCAAGGTAATTACAAATTTTCAAGATATTCAAATTTCCAAATTTTTCAAGATTTTCAAAGTTTATTAAATAGAAGAGCGCTATATAGAACGTATATTTATTGAGAACATCATATAAAATTATAACAAAATATTTTAAAAGTGAATTATTTCATGGAAAACAAAATCCAAGGTAATTACAATTTTCAAAATTTTCTAAATTTCCAGAATTTTCAAAACTTTCAGAATATTCAAATTTTTTAGATTTTCCAAGATTTTCAGTATTCAAAATTTTCAAGATTTTCAAAACTATCAATATTCTCAAAGCCTTCAAAATTTCGAAAATTTTAAGAATTCTAAGGAATTTCCAAAACTTTGTAATTTTCCAAATTTCCAAAATTTTCAACATGTTCAAGATTTTCAGTTTCCAAATAATTTTCGAATTTTGAAGTTTTTCAAATTGTCTAAATTTCCATAATTTTCAAATGTTCAAAGCCTACAAAATAGTAGAGTGCTCGTGTATATTTATTGAGAACATCATATAAAATTATAACAAAATATTTTAAATACTATAAAAAGTGAATTATTTCATGGAAAACAAAATCCAAGGTAATTACAAATTTTAAAGATATTCAAATTTCCAAATTCAGTTTTCGAAATATTCAAAATTCTTAAAATTTTCAGAATTTAGGTATTTTCCAAATTCACATAATTTTCAAGTTTTTCAAATTCTTAAGTCTTTAAACTTTTCAAAATTTCTATAATTTTCAACATTTTCAAAATCTTCAAGATTTCCAAATTTCCAAAAATTTCAAGTTTTTCAAAGCTTACATAATAGTTGAGAGCTAGTGTATATTTATAGAAAACGACATATACAATTATAACAAAATATTTGAAATACCATAAAAAAGTGAATTATTTAATCGAAAACAAAATCCAAGGTACGCTCCACAGTTGCAGTTCTCCATTGGTACTTCCAAGCGCAACAATGTTTGTCCTGAAAATTAGTCAAGTAGGTTGACTCAGTATTTCTGCCACGTATTGATACAAATCTAGTTCACGTTCCAGACCATATTTGAATATAACATTATAAAAAATCAACGCGACCTTCAAATGACATTGAATGATCAAGGTCAAATTCATTCATTGGATAGCTGGGCAAACTCCCATAAATATCGATAATTTTTTCATTCCATTATGAGTTCACAAATTATCGTGGTATTTCAGAACTTTTCAGACATTGAATGCCGATTTTCTTTTTTTTTAATTGTAAATAACTCTAGGCAAAAATCCATTCAAATCTGGACCTAATGCATGTATCCAGAACAAGAATGGATGTAAAACTTTACGTGTTACGTGTTTCTGATGCTTACTTCTTCTTATTGACAGCCAGTTTGGTCAATGTAGTCTTTTTGACGTCTTCAGTAGTCACATCATCCAATGCTTGCCCTTTAACGACATTGAAAATTTCCAGCATCCCTTTTAATCCACATCCGGCTATAAGCTTTTCTTCGTAGGGAACAAAGACAACGTCAAGCAGGGTGTCTTTTAGAAAAATAACTTGAGCTGGTTCCTCCTAAAAACAAAGTCTAAGTAGATTGACTCTGTACTTCTATATCGGAAACTTTAGACATAAGACAATTCTAAGCATTTTTGGTCTTGAGTGTCGGATTTCGGAATTTTTAATCACAAAGAAGTTAACTACTACCTCTACAGTGATCAGAAAGCTGAAAACCATCGAAAAATAGAATCAGATAACAAAACGTAACATCTCGATTTCATCAGTTTTCAAAATAACAATATTTCCCGATTAATTAAATTTAAAATGTAAATTGACTGTTTTTTCAGTGACGGTAAAGTTCTATGGGAATATAAAAGTATACCTGTCCAATCAAATATATTCGAAGTTCGCCATCAGTTCCACAAGTCATAAACATCTCACTACGCATAGGTGAAAAACTTATGGAAGTTACTTCACCGTCATGTGGTTCGTAATACTTGGATAGCGGATCGAATACTTTATTATCTTTAGTACTTTCTACAAAAAAGTAAAGAAATTGACTGTGATTGTCACGACTTTGTGTAGAATTGCATGGATTTTTAGGATCCCCCACCCCCCTCAAGCATCTGGAGCAATGGAAAAAACAAGATTCTAGTATGTCCTGGATATATTTGTTTTTTATACCGAAGCAGCCGCGCAGGCAGAAGCCTAAATGCCGGGACACCGCGGCTGCTATAGAACCGTTTAGCCGCCATACTTCTTCTAAAACTAAAAGTGATTTGGCACCTTATGTAGTGGCGTTTCAAATCATGGCTCCTACAGTATGATGAAAGTTGAGTTACGAGTCTTTCTCTAAAATACCTTTCAAATAAAAATTCAAAATTATCAAGATTTTTCATATTTTCTATCTTCAAAATCTTCAAAACCTTCAAAGTCTTCAAAATTTTCAACACTTCAATCTAGACAATCTGGAAAATATCGAAAATTTCGAAAAACCCGAAAATATCGAAAATTTCAAAACTCGAAAATCTCAAAAATCACGAAAATCTCAATAATCTCGAAAATCTTGAAAATCTCAAAATCTTCGGTCTTCAAAATCTTCAAAATCTCGGAAATCTCAACAATTTCGAAGATATCGATAATCTCGAAAACATCGAAAATCGCAGAACACGAAAATCTCAAAAATCACGAAAATCTCAATAATCTCGAAAATCTTGAAGATCTCAAAAATCTCGAAAATCTTCAAAAATCTGCGGTCTCAAAATCCTCAAAATCTCGGAATTCTCAACAATTTCGAAAATATCGATAATCTTGCAAATATCGAAAATCTCAGATCTCGAAAATCTCAAAAATTACGAACATCTCGAACATCTCAATAATCTCGAAAATCTCGAAAATTTCGAAATCTTTAAAATCTCGAAAACCTTGAAAATCTGGAAAATCGGGAAAATCTCAATAATCTCGAAAATCACGAAAATTTCGAAATCTTCAAAGACTCTAAAATCTTGAAAAAATTTTGAAAATCGGGAAAAACTCGAAAATATTGAAAATCTCGATAATCTCGAAAATCTCAGAACAAGAAAATCTCAAAAATTACGAAATCTCGAAAATCCCGAAAATCTCGAAAACCTTGAAAACCTCTATAAAATCAGGGAAAACTCTAAAATCTAAAAAATGTCGAAAACCTCAAAACTCGAAAATCTCAAAAATCACGAAAATCTCAATAATCTCGAAATACTTGAAGATCTCAAAAATCTCGAAAATCTTCAAAATCTTCGGTATCAAAACCCTCAAAATCTCGGAAATCTCAACAATTTCGAAAATATCGATAATCTTGAAAATATCGAAAATCTCAGATCTCGAAAATCTCAAAAATTACGAACATCTCAATAACCTCGAAAATCTCGAAAATTTCGAAATCTTTAAAATCTGGAAAATCGGGAAAATCTCGACAATCTCGAAAATATCGAAAATCTCGATAATCTCGAAAATTTCAGAACTCGAAAATGTCAAAAATTATGAACACCTCGAACATTTCATTAAGCTCAAAAATTTTGAAAATTTCAAAACCTCGAAAATCCCGAAAATCTAGAAAACCTTGAAAACCTTGGAACTTCGAAAATCTCGAAAATCTGGAAAATCTCGAAAATATCGAAAATCTCGATAATCTCGAAAATCTTTGAAATCAGGAACTCAAAAATATCGAACATGTCGAAAATCTCGAAAATATCGAAGATCTCAAAAAACCAGAAAATCACGAAAATCTTGAAAATCTTCAGAATTTTAATAATTTTCAAATTTTCAAATTTTTTAGATTTTCAAATTTTCTAAATTTTCAGGATTTAGGAGATCTAAGTTTTCAAAATTTTCGAAATTTCCATAGTTATTGAAATTTTCAAAATGGCGGTGCGACGGTATATCTAGGTAGTACTGAAACCTCATGTCCTGCCATGTCTCCAAACGCTTGAAAACCCTTTTTACTAAAGAGATAACGCGTATAGGCAGAACCGTTCGAGGGGGTGCTGGGGGGGTACATATGATTGGCATGAATGTCTACCACTCTTAAGGCCAAGAAAATCGAAAAATATCGTTCCAAAAACAACGCGATGATCACGGTACGGCGTCGTCAAGCGCACTGAGAACACAGCCACTTCCACGTGCCGGTCTAGTGTGGATGAGTGCATCCAAATTCCAGGAAGAATATTTTTAGTTTCATCGGGCGGATCACGTGCCGGTCACAGCACTGTCACGTCACGGTTGAATATGAATACGCCTTAAATAAAGAAAATGTCTACCTTTAAGTTCAAAAGCTCCTAAAGTGGAACAACGTGCTATACAACCACCTTCTAGAGCAACCACAAACATTTCTGGTGAGTGATGGGAAAAGTCGAAAGCCACGATTCCTTGGATGTTTTTTTCGGTAGCGCTTCTCACGTCAGTATTTTTTGTCGCTGCACCGAATAGGGGGATCTTAATCTTGAAGCTAAAAAATAGTTATATGATAATGGTGAATTTTTTACATCCAGTTGTGAAAAAGGATGTAGATAGTTTATTCTCATTATTATGGTTCGTGCGTTTCAAAAAACGTATTCATACTAAGTGACAGAAACAAGAAAACCCAGCAACAATGAGTTCATTACACCATTTTTTTATATAAAGGAATCTTAGGCTTAGGTAGGTGATTGATCCAAATTTAAGAAAAAGCCTTGATAAGGTAAAAAACTAATAATAAATTCTCTGTATTTCCTGTCAAAGAAAACAGCCAATATAGTTTGATTTTTGTTCCAGTTGCCAACACAGAACCATCCAATGGATATAATCTGGAAACATAGAAGCAGATGGCGCCAGCTGGATTGACTGTCATATCTAAGGTTATAAACAGCTTACATCTCCATCAAATTTGTCTGTTTCCCGTCTACCTTCAACAGTTTAGACTCAACCACACTAGCGCTGCCTAGCGGTGGTAAAATTGAACTTGGACATCGCAGACATTCATGTCAAGCTGTCAATGTCATAGGATAAAGGTTATATTTATCGTATCTGACGTATCTCTAACCTCCTTGGCAAAAGTAAGCTCACGTTATTTTAAAGCCTAAAAAACAGCTTGGACGAGAAATTTCACGTTTGAACTTTGGAGGGTAGGTTTTGCTACCTCTTGTTCATAGAAAAGTGTGAAAATATTTAGGATACACATCTTAGAAACGAAATATTGAATTTTTTGTCGAAATCAACATTTTGGAAAATACCCCAATGGTGAAGGCAAGCACTGAAAAATTTGAGTTGGATTTTGTCGAACTATTTTCTTGATACCTCTCCAACTCTCCATTGTAGCCCCATCACATACCTGACTTTCAAACTCAAAGCAAAAGGACTAGTCTTAGAGTTCCACAATTTCAAATACCCATCGGTGCTAGACGTCGCGAGTAAAATATCTTTGGACAAATCAACATCTTCTACCCAAGATATTTGAGTGATTGCGTCAGAATGCACGTTTTCTTTCCTAATGAAATCTTCTTCTTCCTCGTTTTGAATATTCCAAATTTTTACGCTGCCTAAGAAAATATAAAATAGAACTTCATAGTTTGGCCGTACAGTAAACAGGAATTAATCATATATGGTTCGATTTGGACAGACAATGGAGTCCTATATGAACATAAAAAGCACAGGATAGTTTTCAGCAATTTCATCTAAATATACCTATAAACGTTTATAATAAATTACCAGTGAATGTTCCTGCGGCAATGATTGCAGGATGAATTGGATGAAATTTTAGGCTCGTGATACAACTTTCCGTTGTCAACTTTTGTCTCGGTGCTTCCGGTAATTTCCAATCTCTATAATAAAATTTCCGTTCTTCAGGAGGATGTTGATAATAAAAGATGAATTTAAAAAATACAAGATGTGAACTACCTGTTCAATGTGAAAATCGCAACATTTCCAGCATGATGGCACCAGGAATCATGTTCAGAATTACAGGAGATTGCAATAGATTTGCCTGTTTGATTCCAAGTGATATCAGATATTCTGATCAACTGAAAAAAAATATGTCTTAAATTATTAATCTGAATCGCAAAAGTCGAAAGAAATAATGGGTATCGGTGGAATTCTAAGCCACAACTCAGGTGTTTAGCTCATAATAAAAAATATCCTCTTCTTCCCTTATCCAAAGCGCAAAAATCCTTGTCGCTTGAATGAAAATCGCACAATTTCGGTTTGCTATTTTGGCGCTCACGAAATACATTTGATTCGGTAATACGTCGGGATATAGCTGGGTCAGTTCAGAATCTTCTAAAAGAATTATACCGCACCACCCGATGTGTACTGTGTACTCGTTCCGTAGCTGTACGTGTTGCATAAGCATCATGATGCGTCAGCTGTCAATATTTGGCTCTGATGTGATGTAACAGCTGGTTCAGAGATGGCGCTATTGTCCAAGCTGTAACTTGTATACTATAGCTGTATCTATACACATACCTTATCGCCGCTACCACCCTCGAGAGAATTCACAACGCCGATGCTTTGCAAAAGCTTACAATTTGCGTCTTGCAAATCACCCTGCATTCTGTACCCTCTGAACGCCTGTGAAGTGGTGCATTCATCCATTGCTTTCTCCACTTTGGGGTAGATTTTCCCTAGCCACGAGGCTAGACTTTCCATATCTGCTTCTGCTGTTTCCTCTCGCGCTGTGTTGTCAGTTTGAACCTATAGAAACGTTTGGATGAGTTTGGAGAACCATCCAAACGCTCGCGAGTGCATTTGCTCTATTATAAAAATTATAGAAAAATGCACAAAGCAACAAAATGGTTGCTTGCGTATGAATTTCTGTGATGCGTCGCAGAGGCTTTTACCAAGCTTGTGAATGCCCCTTTAGAAAAAAGGTTTTATCGGAGGATATATTTTTATCAACGACTTACGTTTATGCATGCTCTTTCTGCTGTATTTGTTCCTTTTTCGTTTGATGAAAAATCTGATGTTTGCGTTGAACTTTCCGTTTTCACTCTAGAATAGCAGTATATTACTTATTGTATTTTTTTATTATAGAGCAGGTTCCTACTTTGTCACTTTCCATCTCGATTCGAATCCAACGCATTCGTTTTGTTTGATCCCGAACATTTTTATAGCAAGCACCTTTTTTGTTTGATCGATCGATTTGAAATCAAAATTTAAAAGGATTTGTTGACATTGTAAGTTCACCATGTCAACAAAAAGAAAATCACTACACTTCATAGAGCAGACAAACGCAGAATGTAAAGCTATTCTATTCATTTCTTCCTTTCTCCCTCTTACGTAGTTCAGTTTTTCCAAATTATTTTTGCTAATTAAGAAAAATGGATTCGCATTTCTCAACTGACTCTTTCAACTTATGTTTTCACTTATTATAGAAGAAACAAGTTCAATCGTCAAAGAAAGAAAAACAAACGGCTGCTAGTATTACTTGCCTTCTTTGGCACACCGAGATTAAATCTAAGTCACAACCTGGTCTATGGAAATATAAAAATGGCCATTTGAATTACTTCTTTTTGTGACGTGTTGGTTGAATATCTAAGACACAATTTGATCTATGAGCGTATAACCTAAAACGTGATATCCACTTGTCAAAAAATCGGCGTGAAAATTCAAATTTGGAGAAATATTTATAGATTCTGATTTGAACAATTTTTAATTGATATCTAGTTATGATGAAAGATAAATACACCTGTATAAATTGCGGAAGCCGTATTTTCAGTCTATATAAAAAATACAGTGAGACTGTCTTAAAACTAACCGATTGTGTATGTTGGTTCATCCTTAGCTTTTCCTTTTTCTGTTTTATTTTTTATTTTACAGAACATATGTGGCAGAATAGCTGACAAATACGTAGAATACGATACAGTGATTATTATAATCGATCTGATTTTACTTAATACAGGAGCTTATAGACATATTCTGTTCAACACAGAATTCAAGGTGTGTAAAGCTACAAATCTTCAGGCCTACAAGATAAATAAGGTGTTCACTTTGTTGCAGAACTTCTGGAAGTTGTCAATAGTCCTTCTAGTGGTTGAGTCTTACTCTAGTTGGGTGATGTTCAACAAAAACGAAGCTGCTGGTCAATATAATATAACTGAACCAAACCTTCCTGATCCTACAATATATCTTGACAGTTTAGAATTCTATAAATTCTGCCTTAATATAACACTGAGTGAAGTCAGTTTTGTACTCATGATTTACCTACTAACAAGCCTCTGTAGCAGAGTTACAGCCATTGAGAAGACATCCTTAATAAAAATATGCAAAGCTATAACATTGTCAAGCGCTGGGATGTTTCTGCTGCTGCCTTCATTGATTTGGGACCTTCAAGTTCACGAATACCATTTGCAGTTTATTTCACTCTATACAACTCTTTCACAACTTATTGCTCACAAAGGTAAGAACTAATGAAGTTTTTGTTATGAAATCATTATTTTGGGTATACAGTGGACCCCCGATAATCCGGCGCCCCCCTGTAATGTAGATCATGCAGGTATGAACAGGTTACAACTTGTACGCGCCACCGCTATCGTGCTCGACGCGTAAGCATTGTTTTACTTAGTTTGAATTTGACTACTGGTGATAGCGGTATGGCATAGCGTACGTTCATTGTTTACTATTTATTCATTGTGCATTAGGTATAGTACCTAGTAATGTCATCACAAACTCAGAAGCGAAAGCACAAAACATTGACAATTAAAGAAAAATGTGATATTTTAGACCACATAAATCACAATGAAACTTTCAGTAGTTTAGCAAGTGAATACAGTGTAGGCCGATCTACGGCTTATGACATTAAAAGAAACCACAAGAAGATCAAGAAGTCCGTGTCAACTACTGACTGTGGGCCAGGCAAGAGACAGACACTCAAGAAAGCTGAACATCCAGAAGTGGAAGAAGCTTTGTACATGTGGTTTCTTCAGGAAAGAAATAGGCATGCACCAATTTCAGGACCCATGTTGGCCATGAAAGCTAAGTCTTTTTATAAGGAAATAACAAAAAAAGATGATTTTGTGGCCAGCAAAGGATGGCTAGAACGTTTTAAAAGTCATCATGGCATATGTTTAATGGAGAGAAACTTTCTAACGATGCCACCTGCATAGAGCCCTTTAAATTAACATTTTTGCAAAAGGTGAACGATTTAAATCTTGACCCGTCACAGCTGTACAATGCAGACGAATCAGGGCTTTTTTGGCGTGTGATGCCTAACAAAACTTTCGTTTCTTGTAACGAAAAATCCGTACCTGGACGAAAAGTAAGTAAAGAGCGTGTAACCATACTACCATGTGCTAACGCTGCGGGCACACACGCGCTTAAGATGATGGTCATTGGGAAATCTAATAAACCACGGGCATTCAAAAACATTGATTTTCCTGTCCAGTATTACCGACAAAAAAATGCATGGATGACAAAAGACCTTCAAAATTTGGTTTGATGAATGCTTCGTACCTGAAGTTAGAAAATGGTTAAAAGATCATAATTTTCCTCAAAAAGCGTTGTTGCTTCTTGATAATGCTCCCGGTCATCCGTCTGAAGAAGAACTAACAACTGAGTATAAATGCATCACTGCGATGTTTCTTCAGCCAAATTGCACTGCACTGATTCAACCAATGGACAGAATATCATTCAATTTGTCAAGCAAGACTATAAGAAAAACCTACTTCTGAGATCCGTATCAAAGGACCAACCAATAGAAAAAACATGTAACAGAATTTAATATGAAAGACTTGGTTTTTGCTCTTTGTCAGTCGTGGAATCCGTTACCGTCATCAACTATTAAATCATCTTGGACAAAGTTTTGGCCAGATATATTCACCACTCCTAGCAACGTTCCACAAATCAGTTTTACTTCGGAAGTTATAGAACAAGTCGCTACTGAAACACAGATAAGTCCGGAAGATTTGGAAATCTGGTGCCGTGGAATGGATAAAAAGGAAAATGTTATTCATGAAATATCTGACAAAGAGATTATAAGAGGTTTCTAATTATACAACAAACAATCAGGAATATAACGACGACGTGATTGCAACTGCTCCACAAGTCACAAGACGCAATTAACGCCTTTGAGCTAGGTTTACAATGGGCTGAAGAGAATGGAAAAAATTGATGAATATTTCCAAGCTTCATAATTTGATAAATTCATTAATAATTTTGATTAACAATTCTTGATTATTTTGGTACATATGTATGTGCATTTATGCTTAATTTTATAATAAAACGTAAGCTCTCTATTGTTATTTAATTTACTAAATTCAACATACATAAACTATGTATGATTTGTACTTCAAAGTACATACATATACATAACATATATAACCTTACCATTGGATATGTAGTTTGTCGGATTACAAGGTACTCTTTTGTAAAACATTCCCGACTGTAGGGGGTCTTACATAGGCAGTGCTCTATAATTCGACAAATTCGATAGTCCAACACTGTCCTGCATAATGTTTGTCGGATTACCGGAGGTCCACTGTAATTTTTTAGCCCTTTGTAGCTGTGGGAAGATATGGAGTCTCATTGTGATATTCTCATCATATCTTGTGAAATTGTATGTGGTGGAGAGGAATGTAAGATTGTTGGAGTACCTGTCACAGTGACAAGATACTTCAAAGGGGATGGATTTTTTCAATGGCAGGAGAAAGAAGGAGTTCTTACCATAATGGAGTTTGGATATGGGATGACCATACAAATGGTCTGGTATATGCAAGGTAAGTTTGAAGTCTTTATCTAGAGATAAGGTCTTAATTAATACATTTCATTTATTACTTGGACGAAGATCAAACTCTATTATCCCTCTGGCTGAATCAAACTGCATAGCATAGAAATACCAGGTCTCATTTGTGAAAATGGCATCACGCAGATTGATTCTAAAGTTCTTAGCCTTAGACTTCTGATATTATTTTCAAAATATTAAAAGTCTAGGTCGCATCTACTCAATAGATTCTAATGGAATTCAATTGACTGAAAATCTTCACTCAAGTGTAAGAAGACCAATACAAATGAGTGCCATGTTGTGTAACATCTAAAAAATGACATAATATCCTACTTTCCGTTTTTCTTTGTGGTTAAATCAATTGGGTTAGGCAAAAAAAGTATTAATTATTTTTCCTTAGGGATCTCAAAGATGTCCTGCATTTACAAACTAGTGGTAGTTTGGGTGTTTCATCACAGACTCCTGCTCCAGTATCAAATTTCAAAGAGACTCTTGGGCAGATGTCTCAGGTATTATAGATTTTACTTATTATAGATATGAATATCTACTACTAAAAAAAATCCCTACTGGCTGAAAATACCCACAAAACAATTCTGAAATTTCACTTTAGTTTCATTGTTGCAGCTGAACTTCCGAAAGTTCTACCAAAGGAAAGTCAAGCTGAATGAAAAAGATGTTGTCACCCTGCAGGACATTAAAGATGTGGCAATCTATACTTACACCGTCTCTCATTTGAGTTTGGAGTTCATCAGCTACTTTCACACCAAAGCCATGGATAATTATCTGCGATCTCTGATAGTCTATTTCCAGTTTTATTTCCAGGTTAAACAATTGCTTTTGACATATACCACTTGCTTGTCGACCATCAACATATTCTGTGTCGAAAGATGAAAAATGGCATTGTGAATAACTAGTAGATAAGCAGGATTGTCAGTTTCATTTTTTCTGCTAAACAATATCTGTGTGAAAACGCTTCAGTTTACTGTATAAAGTGAAATTTGACATTGTTGTCCAAGATATGTTACAAACACCCCTCATTACTAAGGTAAAAATCAAATGCATTCTTAAAAAAATTTCTTTAATTTAATAGTTATGTAATTTTGCAACATTCTCCTTACTCGTATTTCATTGTTTCATAAATATGTAAATAAATTTGCTAAAAACGTATGTACTTTTTTATCAACTCCAAATTTTTCCCATTTTTATAGTCTAAAAAGAGCTGAAATACATATGCGAAATCACTCATTTTGCATCACACTGACAAATAATTATAATAAACAGGGTGTTTTCAAATGTGAGACATTTCAGAAGCAACTACGTTTAAAATAATAAATATTTGTGAAGAAATTGTACTGTCCTGTCACGTTGCTTATAATAATTCATGAATACCTTTCAAAGTTAACGCCCGTTAGATAAAGCACTTCTTCCCCAACTAGCAACTCCGGGAAGTGTCTAGGTCGTCTACTAGATCCATTTGGTTTTTGTACAAGATAAATAATTCTACGCGGTGCTGGATGCAAATGTCCAGGAAAATGATTGCATACACATCAGCATTTTTAAAACACTCACCGTGAACTAGCGTCGCATCATCAAGCTCGTTATTATAGAAACCTGCCACTTTCGGTATCTTCAAATCTGGTTTATAAACAAACAGTTATACTTACCTACACAGCGTGTGTCGTCTGGGTAGGAAACTGACACATGTATCTTTCCACCTAATTCTTTGTCGGTGACATACTTTCAAAAGCTAATAACATTCCATGTCTTTTAGCCATCAAATGAAATCACACAAGCAGGATTAACTTATTACTAACATTCCAGCCACTGTGGTGGCCTGCTTTCAAAGTACAAATCAAGGTTTGTCACCATAAAAACGATGGTGACAACTCTTATCTTCTACTATACACTGGCGCTGTGTAAACGTAAGTTCCAACTGTAAGAACTCCGTGTGTATTCAGGCCTAAATCTAGATATGGAACAAACTCCAAGCAAGACGTGCAGAGGGCGCTCGCAAGCTGCGGCAACCAGTGGTTAACACCTTAGAGGACGAAATTAGAGACGATCTTTCAGATCTTCGAGCGATAGTAGCCAGAAACTATGCTGTGTTGACGCTGGGCATTGGAGACGCAAAGCAGTTCCATCATATGAACAACAGGAACAACGTTTCTCTGAGCGACAAGGACAGAAGGATCTTTGAGACATTCGTCGTTATGTCAGAAAGAGTGGTGTACGTTGCTTTGACAAGGAAGTATCTCAGTTTGATAGGTGAATTGCACAACATTAATTTTCCAGTTTTCGAATTCAAAATTCCTTCAATTGATGGGATTGTATACGACAATTACACGTAATCTATTGCAACAATTGAATATAATTAGGCGTCAGTATAAAAAAAAACTGTAAGCAGGCACTATATCTACTAGCAAAAACATTGAAGAGCAAGAAAAAATCCAAATTTTTCAGTAATTTTTAGCAGGTTGTGTTTCGGTGAAGAATGGTCGTATCTAGACGTAAGCAACGGTTCTCATGCAATTCTAACAGATAGTGCAAAAAAAATTTTTACAAAACTCTTGCTTTCTTCTCTTTAGTTCACGGGCTCGTAATTTTTTCCCGTTAGGCCATCATATGGAATAGATAGCCCGTTTACGGTTCCCCCACATTTCTTATACCACATGTCTTCTGATGAAGAACTATTATTATTATTGGCCTTAGCATTTAATTTAGGCACGTTTTAATTCAGTTCCAATTTGATCCCACACTTTATCCTTTTTCCTGAAAATTTTTATAGTTCTCGTGACTTAAATCGAACAATAATGGGTACTTCTTAACTTGTTCAATTAACTTCTCCGTTGTGGACATTGTGAAAAACGTGGCGATATGCGATACGAACCTCGTTTCGGAAATGAAACGCGATAAACGGTGGGTCACCACCCCACCGCACTGCGATTATCGCTATCGCCTTGCCACTTTGGTCTGGAAGATCCTTTATAGCTTGTTTTTAGCTTTAAAATCCTGTTTTTAGAATCTCTATGCGATCATTTGTGTTGATTTAGAAAAAAAAGTTACGTTTTGCCGTGTTTTGGAAAATCAACCGCATTTTTGGGATTGCTAATGATAAGGGTAATGTTTTTACGTTTTTTATACCTCAGTGTACCCCTAATAACACGACGGCAGATCGATTCATTGTTCTATTCTGTTTCTCTTGACCGACAATTTGCTAGGTCCCCCTTTGAGAACAATTTTTACGGTTTCTGAGTACCGATTGGTCAAAATTTGAAAGAAATCAAAGGAGCAAAACTTTTGCATCAAAACACCATGTCATCTGGTTGAAAACGTAAAATCATTTTTCTTCTTTTGTTGTCACTATTGGATATCTGTAACATCCTTAAAAAAGCAATTGGAAACATTTTATTTTGCTGTCAACAGTTGGCCGTACTGACAAAAGCTTTATTATTATTTTATAGTTGCTTCAGAGATAGTTTAGGATCTATGTCCATAGAGACTTATTGTTGAATTTTTTAGGTTCATTTTCTGCAGTAGTATTTCCATTTTTAAGCATCTCCTGTATACATGAGTGATAAACGTATACTAAATTCCAGAGAAAGAACTCAATAGAATGCTTAGAACAGATACCTTCAATCCGATAATCCGACATCAAAATCCAGTCTATGTAGCTACTCCTGAAGAGGAAAGAATACTGTTGGGAAAGGTGTGTGCCACAGAATGTAAGCTGTACCAGAGATCTCCTGTCATCCAGGAACTGATCTTGGACCAGCACGATTATAGAATGCTGGCGATCGGTGTAGCAGATATGGGACAGTGAGTTCTTTTTTAGAATGAACAATCTGAATGCGACCACCCTCTCTAACGCCCCAACAACCTAAATCGCGCGCGTAGCACACGGCTGGATCTTAGGGTCGATTGTTCCTACAATAATTGTGGACGCCTTTATGGCCTCCTTGATTTTCGAAGTATTTTCTCTCCTTCAGAAAGGCTGGAATATTTCTAGACGTCTATTGGCACGTGAAAGGCGTCAACGCTCTCCTATTGTAAGATTGTTTTCTTTTTGAATTGTAGGAAATGTCAAATCAAAAGCATGAATTTGATGCAAATAGATATTTGTAACATAACCTCAAAATAGAGCTCAGGAATAACCATGAAAATCAAGGAGGCCCTGAAGGTGTCCTACAATTTATTGTAAAAACGACTGACGATACGGCCCATAGGATCAATAAATGGAGTCAGGTAGATTGTGATAATGATTACCACTTTACCCTTTTCGCAGATATGACAATCGACAGAACTATCTAGAAATCGCATATGCTGCGCCAGAAGAGTTACTAGAACCATTGGGGGTTCCAGTGGGAATACTTGGGATACCTCGCAAGTATTTTGACGCTACACTAAAGCCGAGAGAGTTATCTACAACTAGACGAGATTCAATTATGAAACCAATCCCAGAGTTCTTAATTCCGAAGAGAAAAGTATTCCAGTAAGTTTGGAGTTTTATTCCTGTAAGAAATAAAATCATATCCTCCGTTTTTGCTATGACTAACTCTAGGTGGTTCTCCGTGGACTGAGGCTGTATCACCGCGTGGTACAGAAAATCATAAAAAACTTATCCTAGAATTTTATATTTCATAGTACCAAGGCCTCTCTTTTTGTAGGGAGACAATTTGTGAGACAATGCCAGAAAAACGTTGTCAATTCCAAGAGACCAAGGAAACAAAAGAAAACAGAAAACGTCAATGCAAGATGTGGAGAGAATACATCGAAAATCATGGAACCTTATTAGCCATATTAACCGCTCCATCTGAAATGTCTACATCTGCTATTACCCTCTCCCTTAAATAAATATACGAGAATGCAAGTTAAGGTTGTTTCACTTTCCCCCCAATAATACGACTCCTATAATTGTTTTAACACTTTATTGATTAAAACTTCGTATTTTGCTTAACGTATTCAATCAGTTCCTCTTGACTTAAGTATAACCTGTCAGTCTCTTTAGTATCGTTCATTTCAAACGTTGGTTTTTCACCACTACTTTTTTCATTTATAACCACTATATAACGGTAACCTGTCCTTTTTGCATCTAAATATCGCCTGCCAATTGTCAATGACAGCCGGTCGTCTAACAATACGTTATCTTTAAGCTGTGGTATACTATCCTCGAGAAGTTTATATAGATTTTCAGGAACATCTTTTGTAACTTGCTCTTCTTTGCTTCCCGCCTAAAAATATCGAATGATTATTTTTGTTGCTGCATTTGTCGGGTTTAAAATAAACAAAAGAAGTAGATGGCGCTGGTTAGGTCGGAGGTCATCTCTAAGGTTATGAAGAGAAGATGTCAATTGCTGATCAGCATTTCACGCCAATAGATGTCGCAACGTGATGAATTCGGGAAAAATAGGTTACATTTCTATCAAATGTGTCTTTCCCATCTACTTTTGCACTGTTTGACCTACAAGCTTATATTTGCACGGACCGGCTTGACGATTTTATAGTCACATTTTCGAAAAGAACTATACAACTAACTGTATCTAGGCCAGAAGAGCAATTTATCAGATCTACCCACAAAACATAGTTCTTACAACACTGGTTTAGAGATGTTCTAAAGTATCGATACTTATCGTTTTAGTAAGTATCGATACACTAAAATAGCGGAATAAAAATATCGTTACCTCAAGTATCGAAACTTAATAAAAAATATACCCAAAATCTTCCCCAATGAAATAAAAATTCCCTGATTTTTGGGGAAGCAGCGGAAGGAAACAAGAAAAGTAATCTGATGTTAATCACTCTTTCTGACACAGTCCGGATCGAAAGATAACGATACTCGTGAAATGTATTGATACACAAAAATATCGGGTATCGGAAGCAAAGGTATCCATACTTCTAAATATCGAATCGTATCGAATATACCTACACTGGTTCCAATTTGTAATGGAGAAGGTATATTTTTTTATCAGAATACATGAACAGTTGGTTATCCACTTCATAATATAAATTTACCTTTGGAGGGATGATAGCAACATTATAAGGTGCTAACACATCAGGCCAAGCTATATCGGTCTCAGTTGACAGTAATTCTACACAAGCAGCTAAAATTCTGCTGAGTCCTAAACCATAGCTGCCCATTTGCAAAACCTGTGGCTTTGCATTTTTGCCCAAATAAAATGCTTTCAGAGGTTTAGAATACTTGTCACCTAGTAAGAATGTATGACCTACCTAAAAGAACACAAAATCATATTCTAATTATTGTATTGTTCCTGTGATTGGGTATATCCTGTTGGAATAAATATTATTATAATTAATATAATATATATAATATAATAAAATACAAATGTATAGAAGTAAAAAAGTTTCTTACTTCTATACCAGTTTGGACTAACACATTCTCTTGCTCACCACAGTTTGGGCATTTCTTTTCATGGCAAACCTCAGAGTTAGCAGAAAAATTACATTTATTACAAGTGATGATACAGTCTTCTCCTATAGGTGCCTTGAATTGGTATTCATGTGACAGATTTCCACCAATGCTTCCTGAATCGCCTAAAACTGCAAAATCAACATTGCAAACCGCCATTTTATAGAATAATTAAAAAAAAAGTCAACAAGTGTCTATGATGTCACACACGAGCTTCAGTTACAAGTATATTTTGCTTTTGAGGAAAACTGACAGCCCTGCTTAAGACAAGTTGTATTACCCTATTTACAGTATATTCAGATAAGAGATAGACCGGACATAAACAAGACCACGTGATCATCGAACGCTGTAACATTCGGCAGGGACGTATTAAGAGTCACGCAGTACATATTTTAGATAGTAGATGCTGCTTTGCGTAACTTTGTAGTAAATTAGCACAATTCGATGTGTATACGATTGGTGATGGATATAGGATCATGTGGGGGTGGGGTAAGAAATATATAATGATGTAAATATACATAAGGGTTTCAAAATTTTCGCTTCGATTTCCAGCTTCGGATGCCGTCTGATGTTTGGTGAAATACAGTCGAATATAATCTCAAAATGGCGTTTAAATTAGCCTATAATTATAACAAGGTATAACAATAACAACGACAAACTCAACAACTTAATAAGATAACAAACGAAAACGTCCAAAGAAATATCAAATTGCAATGATGCACACGACATACGTAACACGTCTGAACCTGAATGTGACTCTGCCTTGATACGACTGCTCTGCCGCTCGGCATAGGCATTTAATTGCGAATTGACGAATGAGGGCTCCTGTTTTACGTCGAGACGGCGGCGTTAGCGTGAAAATCACCCGAACCTTTTGTTTACATCCGGTCTATCTCTTATCTGAATATACTGTAGTATCTATCACGGTAGAATGACAGCAGATTAGCTAGTAATATTTTCAAAATTCCCCATATTGGCACAGGACACATAATTTTGACGGATCCGTCAACGCCAGGTAGTCAGAGCCGTATTTTGTTTTGGTTTTTTGTAGGCTACAGATTCATTTTGTGCTTGATAACAGCTGTTTTATTTAGAAAAGTTAATTTGCATACAAAAAACCACAAATAAGTTTTGCTAGATTTATTCCCTGATTCATTATTGCCAACATTGCAGAGTAACACGAAAGTATCACTTGCTGATCAGCTGTTCACCTCAGTAAACGTCAAAGCGTGATGGATACTCGTGAAATAGGGTATAGTTGTGAAGTATCTATATTGTAAGAGAAATAAGACTAAAGTATTGAGAATAGGCAAATTTATAATAGGTACATCTAAAGATTTGTACAGTGAATCAGGCTGTGAATGATATCTACTAACCTTTTACATAGTCAATTCCTATCCTATCGAATATCTTATCATAGCTAGTACAAATCTCATTGTATGTATCCTTTGCGCTAGTTTCATCAATGTCAAAACTGTACATATCTTTCATCAAAAATTCTCTACCTCTCATCAGTCCATATCTCGGTTTCGTTTCATCTCTGAACTTACTTGAAATTTGATATACTTTCAAAGGAAAATGCTTGTAAGAGATTGGAGGATTTAGTGATAGCAGATCACTAGCAACTTCTTCATAGGTCTGTAATTATTTGTGCTTGTGTTGAAGCATGATGATGAAATATATTGTCATTTACCTACAGGACTTAAGATATAGTGATGGTTATGTCGATCTTTCAGCGTGAACAGTTCTGGACCTGCATCTTTCAGCCTACCTTAGAAAGAAAACAATAAAAAAGAATAATGTTGAACCAGTTTTGCACTATGTGCATTTCTTCTATACTAAGTTGACAAAATGATGACAGACAAATATCACTGCAGCTATAAAGTCCAAATTTCGAATTACAGTTCGGTAGGTCTACTCATTATTATGCAGAAGTTCAAAATTAGGTTCAAGTGACAAGATTTAGCTATATGAATATTGAAAAATTTGGACCAATAAAAATTATTGTGGTTTAAAAAGAATTTGAAGCAAAATTTGTCAAGGTCAGTCATTTTAGCTATGTCTTATCAGGGCCTGTCCTTAAAGATTATCAAAGATAGATAAACAGACCTGACAGATTAACAGCCTTTGAACAAGAAGTAAAAGTTCACTGGCCCCTCTGATACACAATGATGAATATAGAAGTACCTGACCGAAAGTTCATTTTTTGATTATTTCAATTGATACTTACCACTCATTTTCCAAAGTCGACTGTTAGTGAGTTCAGAGAAAAGCATCTTTTGTCCACCTATTGTTTGCATCTCGCTGTCTACTATTTTTATAAGCTTATCCAAGGCTTTAAGCCCCAATGGCAAAAAATGAAAACATCCTGGGGTCGCTTGATGAATGATACCCAATTCTAGCATTAGCTGAAAATAATATGGGCATTGAAATTTCTCTGAGTATACCACTTACCAAAGCTAAGCAGTATAGTTTGTTGATTATAACAAATTTACTATATATTCGAAGATATTCTCCAAGGGATGCTAACTTACCTTTTGACTTTTTGAGGTAACATCTTGCATTGGTAGATTTGATGTTTTTGAAATGTTTATTATGGGTTGAAACAATTTTGATACACGATGTAGTGGTATTTTAAAAGTCATGCTGAATCTATAAAATAGCTTAATCAGTTTTTAAGAACCCTTTTTCCCCACACCCCTCGTAACAAAAAGTGAGGTTACGTTTCAGTAAAAAGTAAGGTTAGTAATCAGAATCAAAGATCAACGAGATGCGGTTGGACACGATTCTTAACAAAACAAGTATTCCGATCTGCCATTTTCATTCAAATAACCGCCGTCACAGAAATCAAATACCGAGTGCACCATTAAGTTGATCGGATTTTAAAAAATCATTTAAAAAACTATAAAACGCAGAGAAGATAATCCTTATCGGCCCGAGATAACATGAACACGCAGACAAGTATTGAAATATACTCTACTAGACTAGAAGACTATCCGTAGCAAAATTTTGGCCCATGTAAAGATAACATGGCCACACAAGACAACTATTGAAATATAGACTAGACTATCCCTAGCGAAGTTTTCCTCGAAATCGTTGCACACCGCAAATGAAGATTGGAAAACTACCGCTTTGACGTACTAACTGACTTCCTCGTTCGCCGGGATAGACATACGTTTTAGAGATATAACGTATCCATTTTGAGGAAGCTAAAAATGGATAGCTGAAGGATGTGAACTTGGATCCAGCTTATCGATCATTTGGAATTATAGGCAGACGGAATCAGCATTTTTGATGCATATCATATCACTACTGTTGTTGGACATTTGGTGCCCACGTATCCTCCAACAACCGAGGTAAGACATTGTAAACACGGGGATGAGATTACAGGTTTGGAAACGTCAAAGAATCAACGCTTGATTTTTTGCACAATATTTAGTAAACATAGTGCCAAGGGCTTAGTGTCAAAGCACGATGTGAAATACTGTCAATTATTGACTATCACCAATTAATTGGACTAAAAATAGTCTGTTGTTCTAGGCTTTGCTAATAGTTTTGAGATTTTTCAGAAATGAATGTAAGTACATAAGAATACTTACAAGAACGTTAGATTAGTGCACGTTTCTGTAAATTTATTTTTAAAATAATGTATTACAAGGTGGCCAAGATAAGGAACATACTAGGTTAAATTCAGTAATCTCACATCAAGCATTTGTTTGCAACTCCTACTTAAATAAAATAAAAAAATATAAAAAACACGTTTGTTTAAAACTAAAAAAAAACAAGTGTAACGTAACAATTCTTTGAAGTCGTAGAAAAAGTGCTATTAGATACAGAGTCGTCCTTTTTTTAAATGTTGTGCACGTCGGGCGCAAGATTTAAAAATACCGTCATGTAGTGCCATTAGTTTGTTGACATTTCTTAAAATGAAGTCAGACTAAAATAAAAACGATTTGGCCAAATTTTAGTTTTGTTTAGTCAGTATATGACTAATTTCTCAGTGTATGCAATGTGCGCAATTTATTTAAAAAACCTAGGATGTCAACCCTAACACACAAGTAGAGTATGCAAGGCTCACCTAGTTTGATGCACATGTATCCCTCAGAAGAGTTGGAAGTAGACCTAATTTCCACTTTGGAGACACTTGACACCCACGTCACAACACTAAAACACCACTGAGGGACAATCGAGAACCCCATAGTGAACACCACTACTAAAAAAAAGTAGATAAACAGAATGGAGCTCTGCACCGAGCTGCGAACGCGTGGTCATTCCGCTGCGCCAACGGTTGCAGATAGACTGAAGCGTCCGAGTGTTGTACCTCGTTGGGCCTGATGTTTACGTTGACCGGTATCAGACGCGCAGAGTGGGAGCTGGAAAGGGGCGTGGCTGTACTACCCGGCCGTACCGTATCGCCGCAGCGACGTACAGCAGTCACCGCTTCAGTCTCTCGGCAACCGTCGGCGCAGCGGAATGTCTACGCGTTCACAGCTCTATTCGGTTTAGCTAATTTTTTTAGTAGTGGTGTTAACTATAGGGTTTTCGATTGTGTCTCAGTGGTGTTTTAGTGCGGTGACGTGGGTGTCAAGTGGAAATTAGGTCTACTTTCAACTCTTCCGAGGGAAACAGGATACATGTGCTGCAAACTAGGTGAGCCTCGCTGGCATATCGTTCGTGGGATTGCGGACATTTCCTCGGAAATGTTGTGCTTGAGCTGGCGAATTTTCGCCGGTTTATTGGCGTTAACGCGGCTCTTGAGGTATCCTCATCTTGTTGAAACCATGTCCTGCTATGGTAGGATTCAAAATAATGCAGTTGACCTTGCTCATTTTTGAAGAAATAGGGTCCGATGATTTTTTCAGCCGATATGGCCACCCGAAGTTAACGCGAATGCAAAGGTCGTTGGTGTTTTAATTTGGGATTTTCTGTGGCTCAATACCGGTAATTTTGCTTGTTGACAAATCCACTCAAATGAAAATGAGCTTCATCAGAAAAGAGAATATTGTTCAAACTTAGAAAACGCTTTAACATTGTTTCAGCAAACGCACGGCGTAGATGATGGTCAGATCATGTAAACTAAACTCAGAGCCAAACAGACGCAGCGCAATAGTGCACGAAACTCCATTTTTGTAATAAGCTTTAACACAGAACCTATCTCACCTGTTGTCCTCCCTGAACATATAGCGATATGTCAAAACATTTACACACAATGCCTTAATAGGAAGACAAAATTTATTCTAGCTTATGTTTTTATGAAATTCAACTAATAACACTAGAAACATTTTTCTTGTAGCATTCAAGACTACAAAGTGGCACCCCAGTACGTCGACACGAGTATTTCTTCACATTTCCACAATTCATAAAACAATACGCGACTTTGGCGCGCTCTGGTGCCCTTTGCGCCTGCAAGGGGAAGTCATGCCCTTCAGGAAACGCCATTAAAGTTACATCCACATTTTGCTTGTAAATTATTCTAGGTGCAGAAGTTTTGGTCGATTTGGGCTTGATTTGCTTCGTTGCTTTCGAGTCTTGCTTTTTGAGCAACCTTTCCATTGTCTTTTTCTTATCTTTCTCTCGTTTCTCGTCAGCCAATTGTTTCTTTTTGTGATTTGATAGACTGCTTTTTGGATTGGCTTCTTGCAGTACATCACTTTTTTCCTACAAATATAGTTCAGGTCATTTATTATAGAACCATATTATAACCGCGGTACATAACACAGAAAATTTGGTTATTCGCTTGGATTTGATTATAGTTCAGTCATTTATTCTAACCATTAAGGGACGTATCGTCAGTCAGTTTTTTAGGGTCTCCTTGATTTCATAGTTTCCTACTGTTCCGTGTCAGCTCTCTATTTTGAGGTTATGTTACAAATATCCATTTGCATCAAATTGTTCATGCTTTTGTTTTGCGATGCTGTTGATTATATCATCTGTTATATAGCTTGAAATTTCCTACATTCAAAAGAAAACAATCTCACAATAGAAGAGCGCTGATGCTGACACAGAACAGTAGAAATACCTCAGCCTTTCAGAAGGAGAGAAAAATCTATGGAAATCAAGGAGGCCATAAAGGGGTCCTACAATTTTAGGAACGACTGACGATAAGACACCCAGAACCTTGAGTATTGTAGCGTGATGTAAGTTAGTCAAGGGGCGCGTCTTCGGGTACTTATCATACGTGGTACTTTAACCACAGAAGTTACACAAATGTATAATTTTGATATATATATTTTATCAAATACTTTATATTATAAAATTGAATAATGATTCTCTTCATTAAGCACACATTTTTTGTTTGTATCCCAAAAAGCAAATGTGAGTGATGCAAAAACTATGGATGCACGTTTAACAAAAGGAATACATATAAGGATAATGTTAAGAGTGCTAATATACTTGCCAAACAGCAAACTTATCCATTAAACCTCAAATGTAGGACCTTAATATGAATTACCTTTTCCTGAAACAATAGAAATAATTACTCATAAAATTACAAAGAATATTCTGTATTCTTACTTTATACCCAGTTGGCAAGGACATCAAAGTAGGCGTAACAACTGAAGCCCCTTCTGCTCCTCTGTCATACATGGCCCTCTGCCTAGCTGTCATCAAAGCTGGATCTTTGGGTTTAATCTTTTTCAATTCATCATCAACATCTTCTAATTTTCCTGACTCTATGGCTGTCAACCATCTTTCTTCATCACTGGAAGCGCTGTCTCTTTTTTTACGTTTCTTATTGGCCACAACTGAGTTAGCTGTCACTGGTGTGACAGGAGTCTTTGTAGATGATTGTTTCAGTCTAGAATTAGGATAGTGACTTCACTCATTTTTGCAGATAAATTTACTGTTAAAAAATAATTATATAGCAATAGCATTTGTTAAATGAACTAGCCAACCTGTGAGCCAAGTGAAAACTGCTGCTAACTAAGCTATTCCATGTAACCTTACCTAGGGTCTATTTTGGATAGCATGTTTGAGCTTGGCTCATCTACAATGACTAAGTCATTGGATGATGATCCATCTTCAGAGAGGTTTGGTTTTGAGCGTTTCTTTTTCTTGCTTGACCGCCTCGGAGATGTATCTTGCTGGTCTACAATGTTTGTTAGTTGAATCCAGAGTTACAGCAAGATGACGTGGATAATGTCAGTTATCGAAGAACAGACTATCGACGCGTCCCAGTCCAAGGGAACGTGTAGAAGTTTAGCAGTTATTATGCAGTAAAATTACAAAAGAATATAAGTAAAGTGTACCTTTATCTTTATTGTGGGTTAGGGGCAGAGTATTTAACAAAAAAATGTTCTTACCCATTTCCATACAAAATAAAGGCCGCACTTTAAACTTATTCCAAAACCACCAAGCAAAGGATTTTGTTTTGATTTTTCGCCTTTGAGGTTATATGAACCAAGGCAAAAGTATTTTCGATAGTTTGTATCGATACCGGTAGAAGTTCTTTATGTTCAAAGGATGTAACGTTACGTTATAAGGTGAAACTTGAAAGCAAATAGACCTATGGCCAGCATTTATGATTTATTGATTGGGCAATTTGCCTAAAAGTCACGTACGTACTCGTTACTTTTGTTAGAGGCTTATATCGAGTAACGTATAACCTCTTCATATGAGCATGTGACAGTTGTGACACTTTTGATTTGACAGTGACAGATAATAAACAAGTGAACTTGCAAACTTCCAGTTCCCGCCTTTCCCACCCATTTTCCGATGGACCACTGTTTGGTCCATAATAAAATAGATAAAAAACAGTTACGCTTAATCTGCCGTGGACAATTTTGAGTCAAACAGTTGGTGAGTTAAGCTATACAAATTTTTATAATGTAGGAACAGGTTTACTCGGGACATTTTCCGCAAATTTCCCCCAATTTATAATTTTCGGCCGTTTTTTTTTGTCAAAAAACAACAATTTTTTATAGTTTCACATCTATTCAGTTATTTGTTTTGTGCGACGCTGTTTGGTAAGACATTCTCGTTTCTGTTTGCTGTATATGTACAGATAATATGCAATTGAAGTTTCATTACATGGAAACGTTGATGTGAATTTTTATGGTTGCCTCTTGTTCATAGAAAATAGGCAATACATTTTTCAGAGGAAAAATATTGATATTCTATTGGGATGAAATTTTTGTAACATACTACATTTTCACACTTGAAGCATTAATTATAATTTTTTGTAGCATAAATTATGAGTAAACGGCGCGCAAATCCTAGTAATGAAAAATTATCACAGACTAGTATTGAACAAAGCATACAGAATTTGAAAATTCTAAGTAGAAAACAAATGGAAATGAAGTTGATACCAGGTACAATCATCAACATGTCTGATGATACTGAATATACTGAGAACTTCAGCAGAAAATCACATTCTGAACTGGGAGTCAAGAAATTTTTTTTGCCATTTAACTTGGATAGTGATGAAGATAGCAACATAACATTTAGTGGTAAGGTCCTCTTGTATATCTTCATTTTTCAGTTAGCTATGAACAGTGACATTCACCTACAATATTTTTCACAATAATTCAACATTTTAACATATTTAACACACTTTTAATCTTCTCTAAAAAATTCTTCTAAACACAACTGTTAACTTGGAAGGTGTTTAAGCTAACTGTCTACATCCATTTGAGTTTTAAGCTTCAATTTAAAAAAAGAAAAGAATATTGAACTGTATTTTTTAGTAATTACAATGTTAATGTACGTGTATTTTTTCAATATTGTGTATATTCAATTCATTGACCCATTTCAGATAACACTCCAACAGTATCCCCAAAAGTTACTCCTGTTAAACCAGCAGCATATATTGGAGTCCACAAACCTGTTGCTTGTTCAACACCTCATATTGCTGTTGACCCAAATGTCAGCTCAAACCTTCAACAATCAGATGTAGGAGGAGGTATGATTTTTTTTTAGATTTTTTTCACTCTGATAATAGTGATTCTTAAAATGGGTAGGTTTTGAAGATTGTTGCTATTTTCTGGAATCTAAAAGTTTTATGTAAAAATTTAATTTATTGGTACCTTGATTCTCTGTTTTACCCATTAAAATAAATTCCATGTTTCTTATGCAATGGATTTCTCTGTATAATAGTTATTTTTTCAGACACTAATGAAACCACTATTATTTATGAGAGTTCTACTATTGCAAAATCTGTGATTCATGTAATAGATGAGAGAACAATAGTTTCTCCAAGAACTTCCAATAATGCGGATGAATCAAGAATCATGCGAACAGATTTTGGTCAACAAATGTCATTTAGTCCCCAAAGGACCCATACAATTCAGAAGAAAAGCTGTGGAGGAACATCAGATGTGCCTTCTTCAATCAGTCCTCAAAAGGTCGAGCATGTAGAGAAAAAAGGCACTGAAGGGAAGAGAAAAAATCCAGTAGCAAATAAAAGTGGTACTAAAGCTTCTAGTTCTCCACAGTTGGCTGGGGTGGATAATTTAGCTGGCCATTCAAATGAATCTGGAGCCCAGAAAAAGCGTGCCCCAAGAAGGAAACAGAATGGTTCAGAAAATGGCGGATCACCTAGAAAATTTACCAAAACATACCAAATTCCAGGTATATATCACAAATAAATATTAAGAGAAGTACTGAGTCGATCTATTTGACACCATTCAACTGCCCATGTCAATTGGCATGCAACTATGGCAAAAAATTACGAAATCAGGATGTTATGAAATCATCATGAATAAATGTGTCATTCATTTCCGTCCGTTTGTTTGTTATCTATGGTAGTCACCCTGTATATCTGGGAAAACACTGCCTAGTTTTCAATGAAATTTTTAAGCTAGGTCACTATTATACCAAGGACAAAAAAGTCTAATAGATTTTGAAAATTGGCGGCGGAGCTATGAACCAAAAACGAAAAATTTCATAATGTTCCCAAACTTTCCTTTTCCATGTGTTTCGAGTTTCTGATTATTTTTAGCCTTACTTAAAGGTAATTTTTTGAAGGGTTAGTAATATTAAGCATAATATCTCATTTGGCGTTATTTTTGGACTGTTATTTTAGGGTATGGACATACAAAATTAGGCAGCTCAAACAGGTATGCCTCATTATTCTTTCATTACTGATTTAAATCAATGACATTTGTTTGACTTAATACTTTTACTGATTTTACCGCCTTGTTGCCAAATCTCTCACAACCGGCATCTGTGATAGACCTAGATTTTCATTAAAATTCTTTTAGAGCATGTAACACTTGACTTGTCAAACACTTGCTTGTAGCGTTTTTTATATGCAAATGAACTTTTCTAAATAAAAGAGTTCTTAGCAAGTGCGATTAAGATGAACGGGCGCTCTAACATTGTTTCGGCAAACGCAAGGCGTCGATGGTCGTCCTGCGGCTTCAGTTCTTGTACTAGTTGAAGTTTACATGGGTGCAATTTAAGGTCTTTTACGAAAATACCCCCGACAGATGTTCTTGATATGGCGACGTCGCAGCAGTTTCCTCTGTTCATATTGACCTTGGACGGCCCCATAGGTTTCTGATTCAGTGTCGAACCAACCAAAACCAAAAGAAAATACGGCCCTGTCTACCTGTCGTTGACGCAACCGTCAGAATTATGTGTCTTTTGGCGATATGGGGAATTTTGAAATATTACTAGATAATATTTGTATCATAAAGAGCATAAAAGCAACATGGTTTGCTAGAAGGTTTTTGCTTTGATAAATTGACTGACTGCTTTTATGCTTAGGAAATGTAGTTAATATGTAATATTTGACAAAGTGAGAAACTAACTATTTTTGTTAAATAAATAGTTCAATCATATATATCAATTTTAATAAGTGTAATCATAAGAGAAATGTATTCGCGTCAAAATTAAAAAATGCAGTATAGTTCACATCTAACTTTCAGTATAGTTTTCTTTTTATAGAATGTATGCATGCACTTTTTTCAAACTGCAAAGGGTATTTTTCTCCTTTTTTATTACAGGTAAGACTATAGATAAAAATGGCCCAGTCAATGTGGCATACCTCGCTGATTGCCTGTATGGTACAAACACATCTTCAACAGTTTCAATGACTAATAAGGCAGGATCTAAAGACAAAAATTGTTCAGCATCGAAAAAAGGGAAAATTGATGCTAAAGGTGGGTGAGATTTAACATTTTGTGGTTACAGTGTGTTAATTAACATATTCTCCAAACACTGTATTTTTACAATGTTATTTAAATAGAATAGATTCATTCCTAAAGATTGTGATGCGGAGATATTTTAAAGGGTGATCTTAAACAATATTTATTCGATTCTGTTAAAATTTGGCAATATTATTTTTTGTATTAAGATGCTAGTTCAGCCGTAAGTAGATTAAAATTATTAGGTCCTGGGGGGCACCTTAGCTAATATTATTGTCAAAAAAATGTACTGCCTTTTTTGTAACTTTAATATTTGTTGTTATTGAGTATTTTAGTTATTAATATTTTTTTTAATTTATTACCCTGTATCTTGAAAACTGCATTTCCGAACACATGTTTATAGTAACTTTTTTCATATTTTTTAACAAGGAATCACCTTCTAAAATATCTCCGTTTATTTTTCGAACACCCTGTATACATAATTTAAATCATTTTATTTACAGATTCGCCTTTAATTTTTTCTACTCTGATTTTGTCTTATTTTTGAATGGCTTTTCTTGCTGCGTTGTTCGAATCGTAGGAGCTCGATGTCGGGGAAATTTTGGTTCCTCGATGGCTCACCTTTCAAGGAAGTCATCTCAATACCGCCTTCAGAAGTATCGTATTCAATTATTGGATGACATGTCTGCACTTTTACAAATTAGCATTTTGCAATCAACTGTCATGGCAACTACCAAAATCTCCACCGTCAGCGACAATCCGGCAACATCGCAGCCAGACATCGCTCCACTTAACCTGCAACCGCCAAGCTGTACGACACACGTTTTTTTTGCATCTGTTACCTGCGACTTTTCAGGCTCGTAGTTGTCAATGACATTGTTTTTAGGAAACGGTATGAGTGATCAAGTTTTATATCTTCGATGACGTTAGTAAATTGACAGCCAACTTGCTTGTCAGAGTTGGTTGATCTATTAGTGACGCCACCTACACCGCGGGGCAGAAACCTAGTCGTCTATAAAGCTAGCTATGTTGCTCTAGTTTTTATATAAAACGTGATCCGTTTTTTTTTTCAGAGCAAGTAATTAAACTCAGAGACCAGTTAATATCAATCGGAAAGTTACCACCTATGTGCACTACTATGACAATGCCCGAGCTTCAAGCTTTGATAGATGAAAATACATCAAGTAATTTTACATCTCACAACCATACAAATGCAGCTGATGTATCTGTCAAACCAAGTAGCGACAGTCTTAAAGAAATAATTATTGCTTCAAAAAGACTACAAAATGCCAATAAACCGGAGGTGGCAAAAAACTTATTTGCCGATCCTGGCAGAAACACTTCTTCTGGAGTAGCAAAAATACCGTTGGCGCCTTCATCAACAAGCAATTCAACTACATCTTCATTAAAATCAACCCCAAAAGCAACAGGTGCATTGACAGAAAAGGATGCAGCTTATACAGTATTGACAAAATCCATAAAAGATACGTCGAGCTCTGACTACTCTGCAACAAAAACTGCAGTAGTTATGAATCAAGCTAGTACGTTGCCAGGAAAAGCTTTCGGATTGCCTAGTGGTGTTACAGTGACTGTGGTTAAGCGAAAACGTCTTGTAGCTTCATCGATTACTGCAAATAGTACATCGGGCACTGGCCAAAATTCAATAGAAACTACTGATGCAGTTGCAAATGCATTAGCTTCAACTCCAACCAAAAGTTCTACAAAGCAAACAGGTTCTAAACCAAACTCGACAACAAAACGTAATGTTGATTCTGCAAGTGATATCGCAGAATCTGACCGGTCCTCAAAAAACACTACGACAAAGCCGTCTTTTACTACAGATGCATTTGGTTCAAACATTGGAAATCCAACTTCAGAACAATGTATGAGGACTCAAACCAAAAGTACCCCTACATATTCAAATAGTACTTCAGGGCCTTATGTAGCTGCAGGACCACAAAATTTATCCATAAGAACTCAGACCAAATGTTCTGCTGTTGAGCAAACAGGTTCTACAGCAAATTCAAATGTATCAACTGCACAAGCTAGGAGCTCAGCGTCGGATTCTTGCATGAGAACTCCTACCAAGCGTACCAATCGGAGTCCTGAGAGGTCACCCAAAAAATCACCTAGAAAAATGAGTATGTCTCCCAGAAGCCCAAAGAAACAATCCAAATTTCCTACGAGACACCTGGAACTCATCAAGGAAAAAATATATAAGGCTGTGAAAGAATCACGACACGCGAAAGACCTAGTCGAGAATGAGTTGAATATGGTGGGAAAGTTTTTCGAACTACGCGAAAAATACCAATTCGTCTGTTTGAAATTGTTGACTTGGCAGTGGAAATGGTACAACGTTCACAAGTTCTGCAGAAAGATTGAGGTTGATATGAATTATAACGAAACGACTTGTATGTATGAGTTCCTAAAAGACGAAGGTTATGTTGATACCGACTATGACAAAAGAGAAAATGTCTTATTTCTGTTGAATACCTTGGATCGTGTAGACATACGCGACATATGCGACGCTTTCAAGTTGAACGGAAAAAATAAGAAGAAAAAGGAAATGATTGCATTATTAAGGAAGTACGGAAACACTCAGTGCACGTTAACTTCAAAAAAAACTTCCTCAGACCTACTGCTGGAAAAAGTCAAAGATAAAATGGGTGCTGCTATAAAAATGAATGATGGATTTAGAAAGGCGTTTTACAGACTCTACACGTTAGCGACTTTCAGTAATATCGCTTTCGCGAATATCAGCGATTTTTTCAACAAGATATTGCACAATGGAGTAGCAATTCCTGAGTATGATGTATCTGAAACTCTAGTATTTTGGGGACCAAGTGAATTTGACAGCTACGTAGATGCATTGGAAGATCGAAAATATTTGGAAGAACATTGTTTGTCCAAAAAGCACGTCGATGTACTAGCCCGTTGTGAACATGTTTTTGAAAGATTGAAAAAACTATCTGTTCAAGACGAAGATCATCAGCGGTATGAGGAAATACCGCATCTGAAAAGATACACTGCAAAATCGGTTTATATATCTTGTCTAACTAAAGGATGTGAATTTCTGCGACCGACATTTCCAGAAGATGTTACTGTTTGGTTGGAATACTTGATCGAGAAATTTAGTACTTCGCATAATCTGGGAAAATGGTATGTAAGATTTATCTTTTTTGCTCCTTATGCTTGGTCATAATCTACAGGCATGCTTAAAATTTTTATATCTTCAAGGTGTCAATCACAGATAACACTCTCTCCTATGATTCCTTATACCACCGAACACTAACACATAACAAACGAAATTTTATATGCAATGGAATTTCTAAATAAATTGCTCATTAATATTGGCACTGTTTCTCCTTTACAAGATGGCATAATTACGATTTCAATATGACGTTTCGTCTTTTGTCCTCCAGCATCAACTTTATTATTTCTTGTAGACACCATATTAGTTTTTTACACATATGAATATAGTTTATAATTCTATATGTCATACATTGGCATTGCCAAAATTCAGAAGACCAGAATTTACGAGACTGGAATCGAAACCATTCCATGCTCCGAATCACCAAAAAGAAACTCCATCTTGTTCAGGTCTTGAAACAGTGTTATCTCTTATAGGTATAACAATCTTTGTTGCATCTACATGTCCAAAGAGAAGAATTACAAGAAAGCGAGTAAACTGATTCTTGAAGCGTTCAAAGAACGTTCTAGCTATTTGACTGAAGTTCAAAAGTTTCTGCTAAGTGAAAGGGCAGAGTCACTCAAGTCTTCGGTGAAGTACAAAGTGGATCAGTTGGATCACGACGAATTAGCGAAATATGTTCCAGTTCCTAAATACGATTTTACAGAGGATAGAATCGATGCCAGGACTATAAGAGAGTGAGTTATAGAATTGGTTAATGTGTTCTCTAAGAAGATGGCCAAGCGTCTGCTGCATTTGGACGGAACAATTTTATCGTCACATCGGTCATATGTTGCCATGTGGAATCGCAGTTATTCCTTTGTATGCAATAAAAACAAACTCGACTTTCATTATATATATATATATATATACAGGGTGACTTCGAAGTTGAGTCATTTATTTTAACAGTGAGTAGATCTGATCAAAAGAAATGTTTTTTCCTTTAACATTTTTCTGGTAAAATTAAATTAACAAAGTTATAGCCCTTTAGAGGTTTGAGTACCGCCCTGTCTCAATAATAATATTATGTGCTCGTGTTTGGCAACAACGGATATAATCCGCCTTATCGGTTCATCGCATCGGAAACAAAAAAGCGAAAGAATTTGAAACGCTTATCACGATGCTTTTAGTTGTATTCAGTCAATGTGTCAGTCGGTAACGCGTGAGTGAATAGTGGTGTTTGTTGCGTGGCTCAAACGAAATAAAAAATGGCACATGTTTACGAAAATGAAATGAATTTGTGGACATGATTCTTATTTAATCGAGTGCAACCAACTCCTCGTGCCTTTGTTAATGTAGTACAAAGGGCTCGTGAATCAGGTGACTTAAGACCTCACAGGGGAGGGCATGCCTGTGCTCCAAGACCGCAAAAACAAATTCAGGTCCGCACTGAAATACTTGTCGGGAGGATACTTTATAAAAGAAGGTAACATTTTTTTTATTTTTTATTTTATTTTTACACACATATTTTGGTTTATCTTCCTTCTACAATCATTATCTGAAAATAAATGACTCAACTTCAAAGTCACCTGTATATATATATATATATATATATATATATATATATATATAGTATTCATAGTTAATTGCCTTAACTGTTAGGAGACGATATCCTTTAATTTCTTTGGGTAGAAGGCAAAGTATTGCAAAAGTACACTCTTATAACTTAAACTCTCAAGCTTTCGAAGATCTATGTCTTCATCGTCAGGAGTAAGTCGGCGAGATTGTTGCCGAAATTGTTTTTAAACTGAGGTCAGTCGGCCGGTGTTGGATAATGTGGAGGATATCAGTGGGAAAAAAAAGATGAAATGTCGAAGGAATATTCAATAGTTGATAGTTTTAAAATCTCTAAATTTCTTCCAAAATCAATCAACGTTTAAATAAAAAAAAACCTTTCAAAATGATTTGCCATTCAATAATAAAATAATTCCGTCCTAATCGAACCTCATCAGTCCAGTTTTTTATTCGTCGACTATGTGTTCCCTTCACTGTTGTTTAAAAACAATTTCAGCAACAATCTCGCCGACTTACTAAAGACGATGAAGACATAGATCTTCGAAAGCTTGAGAGTTTAAGTTATGAGAGTGTATTTTTGCAATACTTTGCCCTCTACCCAAAGATATATATATATATATATATATCCATTATATATATATATATATACATATATATTATATATATATTTGCCTATTAAACATGACACCAACCTTCCAAGGGAAAATGTGTCGTTTGTCCAGCCGACGCCCTGGAAACATTTCACTCAAAACACTCATCGAATGTTGAGCTGTGTGAGTTGTAGCTCCATCCTGCTGGAACCTCAAGTCCCTAAACCGAAATTCATACATCAATAACAAAGTTGTTCATATTGTTTTAATTTACGGTGAGGGTCTTCGTAGTGCTACCGAGGCTTCGCGTGTGCATGCATATCGTTTTTCAAGATCCTTCGTGATTTCTTTTTTTGTTTGCTGCTGTCTTTTCAACTGTTCCGTTATTGTTTCACCAAGCGTTTGCTTTGTTATTACAAACGTACTTGTTTCTGAAAAGGAAAGTCGCAACTTTCAGGACTGGCTACAGCGCCATCTATTAGTCACTAACCTTTTTAAAGCAGATTTCTAATTTTTTACGGAGGGGAGAAACATATCTGAGACAAATTCCCATAGGTGACGCTGCGGTATATTGTCATCTCGTAAATCGTAAAAAAAGTGTAGGAGATAATTTATATTTTTCATAAATAATAATATTTCTGTGTCGCGCTTCCGCGTGCCTGTCATGCGATTTTGAAATTTGTACTCTTTCTGGTCCACCTTGTATTAGGTTGGCTAACTTCAAGGAGAATAAGTTAATCAATCATGTTAAACAAATATCTGAGTCTGACTTATCTTGACGTTGACTCGTTCCAGAAACGAATCAGGCAGAAAACGTCATTATGTCGTTCAGGATGCAGATGGGTCTTCGACCTATATGACCGTAGAAGACATTGCCCTGCAATATTACAAAAATGAATGTGGATACACAGATGGCGGTCACTTTGAAGGAGGTATCGTGATGGCTCTTTTCAATCTTCTGTTCTGGGATATCATCTATAATCCCAAACAACCCGTTCCGGCTTCGTTTATATCAACATTGCAGTATGTTCCTTTAGACATCTACACAACGTATTTCTATCAGAACAGGCAGGTAAGGATATACTGGAGACTCAGCTTTGTCTCTCTTATTTGACTTTGATAACGCAATGCTAGAGGGTGTCCTATACGTACTTCAGGATATTGCTTTTAAATAAATTTAATGATTTCGGAAAAATGTCATGCCTGTTTATGTTGTCAGTAGCTAAGGTTAGTTATGCAAAGAGAAAACAGATAAGGCGAATGCAATTACAAAGAGATAGACTGGCGGAACCGAAAACATGGCGCCTAACCACGTGTTGTTATTTGGCGAGGAGGAATGCAGATAATTATTTTTCAATGAATTTATTGTAGAAGATTGAGCATTTTCAGTTCAAATTTATTTTTGTTTAGACTTACATGTATTCGTGGTGGGGATATTTATCATCCATCTGCAGGCGGCTTAATATATTTGGCGCCAAATTCAAGTCTTCAAGTACCTATTGGGACATCCTTGATAGTAATGTAACATCTGAAACTTATCCTGTTGTTTACAAGTCGATAATCCACCCCATGCTGGCCAATAAAACCACAAACTATGAGCTATCTTCCATGCGACAGTTCGTATGTTTTTTCCTTTAATTGTTACATTCGTATACTGTGTGTTATTAAAGTAGTCGGTAAGACAGAAAATAGCTTGGGAACGGGAATGCGTACCCCAGCCATCTTAACACTGACGCAGTCTGAGCATGTTACAGGACTTTTGGCGTATTTTAGGACTATATCGCCAGTCGTTCCCACAATTGTAGGACGCCTTTACGGCCTTCTTGATTGTCATAGCCTTTTCTTTCCTTCAAAAATTTCTATATTGCACCTGTTCGGTGTCAGCGTCAGCGCTCTCCTATTGTGAACTTGTGTTTTCTTTTTTAATTTTAGGCTGATAAAACACGATATAAATCAAAAGAATGAGCAATTTGATGCAAATAGATATGTGATATAACCTCAAAATAGAGCTCTGACACGGAAAAGTAGAAAACTGTGAAAATCAAGGAGGCCCTAAATTCCTCCTACAATTGTAGGAACGACTGACGATACGGCTCTGACTAATACAAAACGAACTGTCACCTGGATCACAGATAATAAAATACAGAGAGATCCGGGAGAACGGGTTTTACTTGTGGTGGATAAAAAACGGTTGAGGTACGTTAACTAGTTTGAAGGTAAACCTGTAAAATAAACACACTAAACCCTATTTCACGAGTATCCATCACGCTTTAACGTCTACTGAGATGAACAGCTGATCAGCAAGTGACATTTTTGTGTTAGTCTGCGACGTTGGCAATAGTGAAACGCGTGCAAATCTAGTAAAACTTATTTGTAGCGTTTTGTTTTTTTGCATGCAAATTAATTTTTCTAAATAAAAGAGCTGTTAGCAAGTACGAAATGAATCTGTAAGCTACAAAAGACCAAAACAAAATACAGCTTTGGCTACCTGTCGTTGAAGGATTCTTCAGAATTATGTGTCCTGTGCTGATCTGAAATATTACTAGATAACTAGCCGTCATTATTCCGTGATGGATACTCGTGAAATAGGGTGTAAAAACTCCACAGCCCCACATAACCTCAAATGTACTAGCGGCGCGTTACACCTGCGCGCTGAGCAGTTCTAGAATAAAAAGACAGCTGCTAGATATTTTCATGAAATTTGATATGCACCTACTAAGCACCAGTAGACATATTTTGTCAAATTTCGTGAAAATACATAGAACATTATTAAAGTTATGAGAGGAAAACGAATTTTTTCTTAAAATTTTGATCACTCTGTAGCTCAAAAGTTAAGAGGTTTAGGACATGTTCGTATAAACTTTTCTTCCTAAAATGAGCTAAGGAATCATATCCTGCATTTTTAGTCATTAATTAAATTACACCCTGTATTGTTAATGTACTGAAGATTACCTTTGTAATTGAAACGTTTTCATGCTGAGAATTTATATGTGGTTCTGTTGGCCAGACAAGCATGGGGGATTATCCTTGAGACTTCTGAAATTGCTCTGTTATACACAGAAGGAGATCGACAGCCGCATACGTAAGATCCGCTCCAGTTGGAGTTACTTTGACCTTCTGAAGTTCGCACGTAGCAAATACACCAAACATTCGCATGAGAATTCCATGTGCGTGATCCAAAATTACATAAGTGATCCTAGACAGTTGGACGACCTGATCCTGTGCATTGGAAGAAACCTGTTGGCGGGCATTTTTGAGCGGCTTGTCAAGGACATCAAACAGTATAAAAGCGGCTTTCCTGACCTGACGGTGTGGAACGTCAAAGAGCAGAAGGTGACTGACATTCGTTGTAGTTTTATTGCATTTTTATTCTCCACTATTCTATTTAAAATCTATTTATTCGAAAACGAGAAATTGAAATGAAATGAATTAATGAGCTCCCTTTTGGTACTGGTCATCACCATGTTTTGAAGCTGCTCCTATCCTTCATAATCTACTATAAAAACATTTTTCAGTGTAAATTCGTCGAAGTAAAAGGGGAAGGTGATAAATTATCCGCCGGTCAGAATTTGTGGATCAACTACTTGAAGACTATTGGTGCTAATGTAGCAGTTTGCGTCGTCCACTGTGAGTATAAAATATTAAGGCCAAGTTTAAATCGAATATGTGTTTTCATCATCTGTCACAACGCCCTTAGAAAAGCTGCTTTTACAAAATTCGCATGAAACAAACGTACTATCTACTTCTATCTTGGACTGAAACTAACAGGAAGGTCCTTTGTTTGTATTGGGTGGGCCATTTAAAAGTTTCGATTTAAAAATAAAATAAAACAAAAACGGTTTGAGATGTTGCCAAATTTATTTTTTTGTTTTGAAGTACAATTGTTCCGCTCAGAAATGAAATATTACTTCATTCAAATGGCTGCCGCGGCTGGCCTCACAGTAGCCCATTCGATCGGACCAATTTTCGAGCACTTTTTCGAGTGTTTGGGGCCGTATCTCGTCAATGGCATCACGAATGTTGGCCTTCAAATGGTCAATTGTCTCTGGATGGTCGACATAACACTTGTCTTTAACAGCGCCCCACAGGAAATAGTCCAATGGTGTCAAATCGCAGCTTCTTGGCGGCCAATTGACATCACCATTTCGACTGATTAAACGGCCATCGAAGGTTTCGCGCAATAAGTTGATTGTGGCATGCGATGTGTGACAAGTTGCACCATCCTGCTGAAACCAAACATTCTCCACATCAATACCATCAAGAGCAGGAACAAAAAAATCAGTTATCATGGTGCGATAGGTGTTTCCATTGACAGAAACGGTTGCGCCGTCCCCGTCTTCAAAGAAATATGGGCCAATGATGCCTCCGCTCCACAATCCACACCAAACAGTCACTCGCAAGGGATCCATTGGCTTCTCTAAGACCTCGTGTGGGTTTTCCGAGCCCCAGATACGGCAATTTTGCTTATTGACGTAGCCACCAATATGAAAATGAGCTTCGTCTGAAAAGATTATTTTTTTCGCAAAATCGACATCATTGATTAGTTGCTCGTTGGCCCATGTAGCGAAGGCAGAACGAAGTGGATGGTCACGCGGCTTCAACTCTTGAACCAATTGAACTTTGTAAGGCGTCATACCGAGATCTTTCCGCAAAATTCGTCGTAAACTGGTGCGGGAAATGTTCAATTCTTGGGAACGATGACGTGTTGACGTTGATGGATTTTCACGCACACTCGCAGCCACAGCATCGATACCTTCGGGTGTACGCACTGTACGAGCACGCTGACGTGTTGGAGCATCAACAATGAAACCACTTTCACGCTCTTTATTAATAAACTTGCGTATACCGGGCGCTGTTGGTGCTTCGTTGCGACCGAATTTTGAACGGCATTTTCGTGCAATTTCTGCCCAATTGTCTTTGTTTTGGAAATAAATTTCCAATATTACCCAACGTTGCTCAAGCGTAAATCGATTCATTTCGTTCAGCGGAGATAATATACTGAATTTTATGACAAATCAGATTGACATAAGTATTGTCAGCGTCAAATTAACACGTGGTTCAAATCGAAACCGATAGATGGCCCACCCTTTATATGTTACGGCTACAACTCGTCTTCGATGTACTCAAACGTTGTTCGTTACTCGTATAACGACTATCGCCTTGTTTCCAAGTCAATATGGGCTCAAGCTCTCCGTAAAAACTTGATTTCATAGATTCTGATATTCTGTTGACATATTAGCTCCTACACATTACTTTCATTTTTCTAGCTATTGGATCTAAAAGAAGAAAACTGAAGGGAAGCATTAAGCAGTCAAAGTCCATGCTTCAAGAAGAATCAGTCAATCTAGGTGGATCATCCGCAGCACCATGACGAATTCTACAAAATTATAATCTGGATATTTTTTTATGTTCACTATATACCTTTGATGAACGTATTCTGCCTCAAAATAACCAACCTAATACTATGTTCCCGCGTCCAAAAAACTATCCGAGATTCTGTTTACTATATACATGGTGTCCCAATAACCATGCGAGGATGGAGTATTGCTCCTAAACAAAACTTTTCAAAGAAAATTATTTATCAATTGTATGTGATTTTGGGAAGCGTATTTCTACAATATTCGCAATTATACAGGGTGACCCGATTTTGACGCACATATCAAAGCTGATTCTTCTTACCACTCCTCTTCTACGTTTTATTACACATTTGGATAGACCCTTTTGAAAAAACACGATTAATCTGACATACTTATCGATATTCATTACTAGTTTTTAAACTAATGGGTATTTTATATATAAAAAACAAAGTTTGATAACCTGTATGGCTGCAATGTTGACAGGTCGTGAATTTGTGTCAAAATTTTACTTAATTTCAGCCTAAGAGCCGTTTTACACACAAGAGAATTACTCCGAAAATTATGCTGAAAATTTTTGTCGTCGTATTACACGTAAAAGAATTCTTGTGAAAATTTTCATGGTAATAATATAAAACCCGTTCTATAGAATTGCGCGAGAATCGGCGCATAGGGTTATTTCTGTGCATGTCAATATCAAATGTCAACGTCAACAACATAACCTCACTTAACATTTGTGAGTGTGGTCCTGTTCAAGTCGTACGAAGAAGCGTTTATTGTTATTGTTTATTCATAATGTCGTGGAATCGGGAAGAAGTTACACTGTTGTTGGAGGAGTACCAAAAATGGCCAAACCTGTACAAGGTGAAGTCACCCAATTACAAAAACAGAAATTTGCGGCGTCAGGCGCTGGATGCGATAGTCCAAGCATTGAGAAGTTTTATAATATTAACCAAGATCTCGATTTCCAAAATAAATTTAAATCAACGACGTCTGTTGTCTTTCCGATTATATTTGACGTCATACCCGTTAAGGTTATGCCCATTCGAAAATATTACTCTAATGCGCAGGCGTATCATATGAATTACTACGAAATTTTGTTTGCATGTGTCATACAGGTTGTAGAGAAAATCTTCAATATTTTTTCCATGCAAATTTTCGGCATAATTATGACCATAATTTTCGGAGTAAGTCTCTTGTGTGTAAAACGGCTCTAATTCAACCGTTTTTTGAATTCCCAGAATGAATACAAACGCAGACTGTACTTTGTCGAAAAAAACTCTAACACCCTGTATATTTTGTGCTATCGGGACCCCATTTTCATGAGCGGTTTTTGCGTCATAGCTATTCAAAAAATTGGATATTCCCCTATTCAAACAATTCACTACATGGAAACAAAAGACAAGTAATCGATTTTAGACAATATGTCAGGCTTTTAAAAAACCAAGTAACTCAATGCATTTGTGTTGTAATTCTTTATTATTATAATGTAAAATTATTTTTAAGATGTCTGAAGATGAAAACAAACAACTAAAATCTAAACTATTTTACTGCGATAGAAAATGTTCAAAAATATCCCGTTGATGTTGAACACGAAAAAGTGTTTGTTTCTCTCTCAAAGGCATTGGATTACTTGGTTTCTTGATAAAAGCATGATTTTATGGAAAGATTGTCAATAATCTTTTGCTTGTTTTTTGTTTTCATGGACTATTTGTTTGAATAGGGAAATATCCAATTTCTTGAAACAAATAGCTATAATGCAGAAACCGTTTGAACCAACTGGTAACAACCGCACAATGAAAATAGGGATACGATAGTGCAAAAATATTTTGCGAAAAAGTACATTTTTCGTTTTCGACCTTCCAGAAAATTCTAAAAATTGATATATTAGGCTAACATTGAGTGAAATAAAAGAAAATTAATGCAAAGTTCACAACTCCACTTGTCAACTTAGCACCTATGCAAGCTGTCAAACTTTGTTTTTTTATATAAAACATTCATTTTTTCAACGACTATAATGACCAAAACCCATGCTATATAAATCTTGTTCTTTTAAAAGGGCTTATTCGAATATGTAATAAAAAGTAGGGCATTCGATTTAAGAAAAATGAACTTTGATATGTGGGTCAAAAGTGAAACGCCCTGTATAATTGTGAATATTTTATTCCATCGTAGCACGGTTGGGACACCATGTACACTGTGAATATACTCAGCATACATGTGGCTACAGCGCCATTTATGAGACACTAACCTTTTCAGAGTATACGAGTATATAGCAAATAGGAAAAAAGCTGTGACAAATTCTTATAGATGACGCTACGATATCTTATTTTATGTCGGATAATTGTTCAGACGCTGGAATATAGCATTAGGTTGGCTATCTTGAGGTGGACTAGGTTAATCAAAAGCTTGAACTTATAAAAGTTGTGCCATTATTTATGAATACATACCATGGGTATGTCCTATACATACCAAATATCTTAAAATAGGTGAAAAGTATACTTTGTTGAATGCAAGATATTTTATATATTGTTTAATCTACTTTTGTCATACATTTTATAAAATTGATACGTTGTCAAAGCATATAATTATTATTATCGGAACATAAAATATATTTACCTTAACAGTTGTTCTTATTTTGGAATACTGAAATATTTCTATCTGCAGGAGTGTAAAAAGGGGGTTGGCCGGAAAGTTTTGTTAACTTAGCTCAAGGGTATTGTTCTTTTGTGCGAAAAGTACCGGTCGCAGTACAGACCCCTGTGGATCGACTTCGTTTAAACTTACAAAGTAGATGGTATAGATAATGGGCACATATTGCGACCTATTTTGTAAGTATGACGTATCGACCTCAAAACTGGTTTTGACTGATTTTTTAAGTCAAAATTGGCTTTTTCATTGCGGTCCTCTTCGTTATATTTTTTTGTTGCCAGACTCCGTGATTCGGGTTTTTCTTGAAAACAATGAAGTTTTTCGAAAAATAGCTATAGTAAAAAGTTTTTGAAGAAAATTCTACATAAAATATTAATATTTAAGTCTGCCAACGGGTTAAAAAAATTGAAACCCTTTGTGACCACGGGTATCACGTATGATTGAAAAGTGACATTATGCTGATTTTTTTTGACATTATATATGTTATTCTACAAGATGTTAACTTAGCACTTAGTTGTACGTGTTGCCTAAACGTCATGAGGCTTGTTATTAATCTTTGGCTCTGATGTGATGTAAAATCTGCTTCTGAGATGGCATTACTGGAGGTGTCTAAGCTGTAAGTTGTATGTGTTGATGATAATTACACTGGGTTCTTGTCTCAAATACACTTAATTGAGATTCAAAGCTAGAAATTAGTTGCGCATCCACTTTTTCTTATCCATTCTGGAAATTTGCTGAATTTCAAAAATGAGAGAGATAAGAAATCATTATATTCACTGTACACTGTCGAATTACAAGCCATATACATGCTAACAGTAATTACACACAACGCGGGCGCGGTGATGATTACCCGTAATTCTTCTCAGTTTTTCGTAATATATAACTTTGAACATAACCTCTCTTCAGAAAGCGCAACATATAAATAACCCGTCATATTCGGCATATTCAGTAATGATTTTCTCATACAGCAAATATCACTGATTTTATACAGATGCAGACCAATACACATAATCATCCAGATGCGATCTTGCTATTCAACCAACTTTCTTCTCAGAGATAAAAACTACAGACCCGGATCACTCAGCCCCACAAAACTATGCAACCAATAATGCGTAGTTTAGTTGAGTGATTCCTCCATAGATGGACGTTCACAACGATCCTAGTGAGCAAACGTGGAATGACTGTTTGCGCCCTAAAAACTACCTAGTCTCCAAGTTGAAATCTTATTGGTTTTTTTGACGTTTTTTTGGTTTTTTACATGATACCCGTGCGGGATTTTTTATCGTTATGTTGTATACGTACAGCAAAATTTACTCTGACACGGCGATACTGTAAATCGTTCATTCATTCAATCATGTAATAGCCTGAAATGTAATCATTTGGACAGGTATTAAAAATCAGTGCTTTTATAGATTTTGATGTGATTAGGTATTTGGAATTTCATAAGCACAAAAACTCAAATATATATTTATTGAGTGTTAACACCTATCGCGAATCCACTTCAGTTTAGTTGCACTATTGAGTAATAGGTCGCACACGATTACTGTGTTCAAGTCATCTTTTACACCAATAGTAACGGTTAAGCTTCTCCCCACTAGATGGCGAACGCTGTCCGTTTTCATACAAAAAAGAAACGTCACTGTCAAAAAGTGTTACCTCATAGAGATAGAGCGTGTTTGGGTTACGATACGAGCTGCCAGTTTTTACATTACATACACACACATATCACAGGCGATTGTTTTTGCAGCTAGAAAGTTAAAATCGTCGCGTTCGGATCCAGACGGTTCACCATACTCTAGTCATACGGCACGGTAGCTTATTAAGTTAACATTTTCGCCTGGTTCTGTGATAATTTCCGATTGACTGAGCCCGACGTGTGCAGTGTTCGTCCAGTACAGTTATCGTTATGAAAAAGTGTAGATAACCGCATCGGTATAGATATGGAACAGCCTGTCGTGTCCGACAAAGACATCCCCCAATGGAAGAAAGACCTGATCGCCCGCCTGAGGAGCCAAAACAGAACCGCTGCCGCTGCGGCAATCAGCAATTCGAACTCGTCCCCGAATCGGCAGTCAACCTCAACCGGTGCATCCGCTAACGCGCTGGTACGGCCGGCAGTACCGTCGGAACCGCTCGCGTCGCATAATGGCACTAACGGCGTGAAGATGGTGCAGGAACGCGTTTGGGCCACCGAGAGTGTCGGCTATCGGAAAGCCGACAGCGATTCCGACTCTGAAGACCTCCACTATGGCCCCGGGATCGTGAAGAAGCTCAAGAACAAGTATTTGAGCTTGGCGCTACGCGAAAGTAACGCTCGACCGACTATTTTGCATATGCGGAAAGCCACATCGTTGGAACATCTGCTGGACGAGGAGCCTTCTAATGAAAAACACGTTCAAACCAGGCAAGAGACTCGGAGGAATGCCCCGAATCGATACAGGAACGCTTCTAGGGGTGAAATGAAACGGGCTAGGTCCGTTGAAACGATATCCAGGACACCAAACAATCACATTCCTGCCAACAGTATTTTGAACCGGCAATTGCTTCATGAGGAGATTGCACTTAAAGAAAACGGCGAATATCCCATCAAGTCTCAAGAAAACATCACAAGTAGAATAAACAGACCAAAGAGGATACAGCCCCTCTTGAGTGAGAAAGAAAAACCTCCTGTAGATAAAGTAAAGCAAGCGAAGATGATCTTCGAAAGGAGGCCAGAGCAAAGAACAAGAGCTCCTCCGCAGACTGGGGAGGTGCAAGCAAAGGTGGAATGTTTCAATAATAGGATTGTGAAGGCCAAAGTAGAGGCCAAGGTGGCTAAGAAACCACCTATTAAACATACCAAGCCAGTACTTACCGATAAAGTGAAATGTAATGCTCAAAAATGTCCCAAGAGCTTGGCAGTGGACACCATTCCAGCTAAAAGGGAGCTCACTGAATCACTGCCTAGTCCTATACCAGACGTTTCTAGAATAGACTTCCAGGTAAGCACTTTTGGGTTTTTTTTTATAGAATTCCATATTTATCAAGCATCTTGTAAATTGATATCAGTATGCAAAATCGATAAATATAAATGTAAGTTTCTAAATGTGGAAAAGGAAATAGCTCTGTTCAAACATTGAGCCGTATTCATAAAAAAGAAGCATATCCTTGGGAGCATAAGGTAAAAGTATAAGGTCTTGCTACAGAGAAAAAGGTAGAAGTATAAGCATATCCTTGTGTTCATATTCATAATACTCGCGAGGATATCCTCCAAGAAGAAGTAAAAGGTTTACTGGTATTTGTATCTTGAGCGACAAGTCCTGACTTGTTCCAGCTTGTAGTTGACGTGGGAGTTCGTTCACTCAGCATCACTGACAGTTGTACTCCAGAGCTTACACAGACTGTTCTGTATTTTTACTGGGTACAGTTTTTTATCAGATTAATAAGCATGTCATCCTCAAGTGATGAGGAAACTATAGAAAATAATGGCAGCGACTTGCAGTTCAACCATCAAGATTGAAGCAAAAACAGATCTAAAAAAACTGGTAATAAAGCAATTAAATTGTTAGATTGGGAAAGAAAGTTGCTGAAAGCTATGGAAGGTGACTGTAATCCTACAATTGGGAAAATTAGAGGTTAGCACTGTTCAAGAAGAAGGAGGTGAACTATATACCGAGTGCAGTGAGCAAACAGCTAGTATTACAGTGCCAGCAATTCAGAAGACATTGCCACCAAAAAGAAAATTAGCAACAGAGAAATACGAAACTGAGGAAACAAAAGGTTAACTAAAAAGGAACTGCATCTAGTGCTATTACAGCAGCACCAATCAAGTATTTTATAACAAGAGCATCACAAGCCACCTTTGACTTATGATGTTCACGAAAATAAAACTTTAATCAGTAAAACTATTTATTATAATACTCAAGTTTCTTCTTATTTGTTGACCTAGTTGGCGGAGAGGAAGTTGGTCATTCTCATGATTTCCTTCATCTTCATCTGGGTCTTGTTCAACTAACTCAAAGTCAGGATCGCCCAAGCTCTTCGCAACATTATGGAATACAATACAAGCAATAATTATTTTCGCCACATTTTCCAACTTTGCGCGGCAAACATAGTCTAGGATAGGAAACCGGCGTTTCAGTTGACCGAATCAGCGTTCAATTAAAACTCTTTCTTTTCTAAAAGCTTATTATAATTTATTTCTGCACCTGGAGTAGGATTTCTGAAGGGAGTCATAAGGCATGGCTCAATACCATAACCGTCATCGCCAAGTAGTACAACATTTGCTTCATTTATTAGCTGAATTTCTCCATATTCTGGAATCATGCACTGATCCAGGCCAACTGACATCAACACTTGTGAACATCTCTCTGGCATCACAAGTGGCTTGCACATTTAAAGAAGGTTTCCCTTTTCGATTAATATACTCATCTCCATGGTGATTTGGTTTCATGATTCCTATATGTGTACAATCAATTACACCAATTGCTGTCAGAAATTTATACATGCTTTGCCATATCCACTTGGCCTCCATCAGTTCATGGTTAGTAGTTGGAAACTTGATCCATTCATTCGACTGTGCAACTATGCTGTTCACAACTCTATCCACAGTCCGAGATACCGTTGCTTGACTAACACCAAGTTCCTGACCAATACCTTGTTGATATCCAGGGTCTCTAAGATAGCGTAGACATATCTTCATTTTATGAATACATGAAAGTGCTCCTCCTCAAGTTTGCTCATTCTCAACTAAAAATCTGTTCGCAAGCCATTGTGCATTTGATTCGTCGAACCGATATAAACGAGGTTTGTACGTTTTAACATCCCTAACATCCACAATTTCCGCCATCATCGCTTGACCACCTTTCGTTATGAAGTTGAGTCTGCTACTGACCACACTCAGAATTTTTTAAGGATATACTTCCTATGCCAAGATAAGGTGAAGATTATGAATATCCTTTTACTTATGTCACTGCTTTGACGGATATGCTTATACTCAAAAAGCAAAAGCATTTACTTAAAATTATTATAAATACCATCTGGAGGATTTCCTTCAAAATTCAAGGATATCCTTTGTTTTATGAATACGGCTCAATGACTCTTTTTTTCTTTTGCATTTCTGAACTTGAAAATCCATAGTTAATAAAATTGATTATTATACAGGGTGTTATTTAATAATAGGTCATAGTTACAAGGGTGTTCGAAAAATAGACGGAGATATTTTAGAGGGTGATTCTTTCTTAAAAAAATATGAAAAAAGTTCCTATAAACATGGGAAATCAGAGTTTTCAAGATACAGGGTGATCAATATAAAAATTTTCTTATTAATATTTTGAAAAATATTTACTTGATTCTGTTGAAATTTGGCAATATTATTTGTTGTATTAAGCGCCTAATTTAGTCCTAAGTCCAGTGGCGTACCGGGGAACATCTTAGCGAATATTATTGGCAAAATACACCTTCTTTGCCTCTTGTATTTTTTTCGTATCCCACTTCTTTTTCTAGAAAAAAAAACCGTTTTACTGTATGTCACTGGACAAAACTGGTTTAGTGCCAAAAATAAAAAAACCAGCCTCTTAATACAACCAATAATATTTCCAAATTTCAACAGAACCACATAAATATTTTTTAAGATGTTAATAAAAGAGATAACTTTTTAAATTGAAAACTCCATGTTTATACAAACTTTTCTCATATTCACTAGGAATCACCCTCTAAAATAACTCCGTCTATTTTCGAACATCCTGTATGAACAATTTGGTCTTCAAGATACATGCTGTCAAAGTTACAAAAAAAAATGTTCTTTTATCAATATCTCACAGATCCTTGTGCCAATTTTGTTGTGTTTTGGCATTGTTGTTCATTGCAATAAGATGTTAAGTTAGCACTAACTAAAAGATCATCAGTAATCCCAGTGGCGTCCTGGGGGCAGTCTCACGAATTATATTTAACAAAAAAATACGCAACTAACTTTTTTATAAAATCCCTATTTTTTCTTCCAAGCAGCTGGTTATACGCCTTTTTGTCTCTTGGTATCTCTATCTATTATACTTGTTTTTGAGGAAAAAATAAATTAAACAACTTACATGTAGAAAAATTATTCAAACAATATCAATTTTGATTGCTAGGGAATGGTGTTCTGTTGTTATGAATAATTTCTGGATTTCCATGACATTTTTATTGTCTAGTTCTAACTAGACAACTTCACAAAAAACAACTTATTTTTCCACCATATCCATTTTGGATATGTATTTAATATAATATATACTATTGTGATTCAGCATTCAAATATCTTGCAATTTTGGCTCAAATATAAGATGACATATTAGAACAAGAAATATCAATATCAAGTTCTCAAAAATTATCTAAGCCAATATTTCAGAGATTTTGGTAAATATCAGAATAATTTTCGAACCAGACAAATATCGATAGTCTCATCCAAAGTATTAGAAAATATCAGCCATTCTTTTCTCAAGTTCCGCCACATTAGTGGCTATGTAATCTACTAGAAGCTTAAATATATTGTACTAATTAATTTGTGACACAGTCTTTAGAACTTTGTTAATTGTTAATTTTTTTGCAGAACGGCCAATGCGGCGACAAGAAAAACAGCACTCTCTCTGAAACGCCCGATCTCATCTTAACATCTAGTCCGATGGCCATGCTCACCTCCCCTACCTATAAAGCCAACTCCACGGAGCATTTCCTCAAAGAGGAGATCCGTAATTGTTCTCCTCTCCTCAATAGCGATCATCATCAACAGCATTCGCCCAAACATTTCCACAGCCCCCTGTTGAGCCCCGTCAAGGGGAACATGTCGCCTACAAGTCCTAAGAGCAGCTCTAGAATATTGAGCTATGAAGAGGAGGATGGTCGGAGAAAAGTGCAGAATGGGGGGCCTCATGTTAATACGGTGAGTGTTTTAACTTTTTTGTTTTTTTGGGTTTGTAACATTAGAACTATTTCGTTCTACTTTAAAGATATCAGTGAAACAAATCAGTCAGTTGTTTATTCAACATCCTCCACATTTTATTGTTCCAGGCGAATACCACGTCCATATTCAACTTCACCAACAAACCCTCTGCGACTTTGAACAGTAACATCTGCGAAGAAAAAACACCACCCTCAGTCCCATTGCAAATCGACGTGAACGGCTCTTCCACAGTCGTACCCACCAAGAAACGCCCACACATATCTCCACCACGTTTCTCCCCTCCCCCGCCTCCTAAACTGGCGCCTGAAACCCCTGCGCAGGTCGCCGAGAAGAACCTGCGCAACCTGCAGCAAAACGGAGCCGCCGAAGTGGTTAACCGAAACGTGGTGGTGGTCACCAAGAGGACCTCAACGGGGACGGCGTCCACCAGGTGCCACCAGGAGTCGACAACGGCGGTGTTCAATTTCACAAACAGAAAAGATGTGCCGGATTATATCGCTAACGATCGGTCGAGGTCGCCGAGCAAACCCGAGCTCCCGAAGGTGAGTGTTTTCGAGTTTATGACTTATTTAGTATGAAGGATATTTGAACGGAAGCAGACATGCAAAGATTTAGGTCCTGGTACATCCGTACTAATACAGGGTGTTTCAGTTTATTGTTGCATAACTTTAAGATTCGATATAACTTTTAAAATTAATGCATAAAGTCTATATAAACATGGGTCGAAAAATGCTTGGCTTCCGAAATACAGGGTGTTTGAATTGACTTTTTAAAATAGTTTTTTTTAAATATTTCCAACAATATTTGATGTATAACAGTGAACATTGGTATACAAGGGTTTTTTGGTACGACAAAACGAACCATGGGCATAGTTTTACTGTAGCCGCTAGAGGGCGCTCTCTACTGTACCTGTAGTATATTAAAATGACCGAAATTTTTTTCTTAGTACAATTTTTTGCTTTTTGAATAAAAAAACTGATACTTCGCACTTTTCTGCATAAAAAAATGATCGAACGTGGTATAGCATTATTCAAATAAGGCCTTATTTCATCACATGCATTCCTGATTCTGTCTATTAGCATATCTCTTGTCGTTACGGGAGTCTGGCACACTTTTTCTTTTAGAAATCCCCACACAAAGAAATCTAAAGGATTTAGGTCAGGGGATCGTGGAGGCCAGGCGACTGGTCCACGGCCGATCCATCTTTCTGGATAATTTTCGTCCAGCCAGTTTCTAACTATTCTCGAATAATGAGCTGGACAACCATCAAGCTGGAACCAGGCCAATCTTCTTAAATCTAACATAACATCATCCCACATATTTGCATGTTCAGCCTTTAAAAATTCTAAGAAGGTCGCAGCATTTAACCTTGCAGGCAAAAGGTAGGGTCCAAATAGTCGATTACGGTAGATACCAATCTACACGTTCACACTAAATTCATGCTGAACATTTCTTTCCCGAACTGCATGCGGATTTTCATGCGACCAAATATGTTGATTATGAAAATTTACCACTCCACGTCTAGTGAAGCATGACTCATCGGTCCATAAAACGTTACTTAAAAACTCCCTATTATTATCAGTTCTATCAAGAATCCACTGACAAAATGTGATTCTTCGTTCTCCGTCCCCTCAGGTTGCAAATGGTAAGGACGTCTATGGTCATTTCTAAGAACACGGTGAACATGGCTTGCTGAAATTCCCAAGGCACCAGAAACTCTCCTAACACTTGTGGTCGGATCTCTATCAAACTCACGCAGAATCATACGGGTAAATCTGCGCTGACGAACACTTATGTTTTGATCCGTTTGGAGATTTCCAAAACCATTTTGAATTATTTGGCGATGCACTCTTACAAATACTGAGCGAGATGGATGTCGTCTGTTTGGAAATCTTCGTGCGTATTCTCTGGCTGCTTCTGCTGCGTTTCCATTTACAAAGCCATACACAAAATGAATATCCGCTAAGTTTTGATTGGAGAGTAAAAATGGCATTTTTATAAAACTTACAGAAAAAAAAACAGGTAAAAGAAACTAAATTTCGTGCATTCACAATTGCAAAAAAACGTTTCAGGTTTCAACAGACAACAAAACTAACGGTCAACTAATTGACGTTTAACCTTATTCTGCTTTCAATTTCAAAAATATTTGCAGGCACAGCCTACTTCTAAAAATTATCGAGATACTGACTTTTTAACGTTATTTTATCATAAATAACTAAAAATGCATCGAACCTTAAAAATCGAAATATCTCAAAAACGGCTAACTATAACGAAAATTCACAAGAGAGCTTTTTTATGTTGAAAAGTGCGAAGAAACTTTTTTTTTATTCAAAAAGCAAAAAATTGCACTAAGAAAATTTTTTCGGTCATTTTAATACACTACAGGTACAGTAGAGAGCGCCCTCTAGCGGCTGCAGTAAAACTATGCCCATGGTTCGTTTTGTCGCACCAAAAAACCCTTGTATACCAATTTTCACTGTTATACATCAAATATTGTTCGAAATATTTAAAAAAAACTATTTTAGAAAGTTAATTTAAACACCCTGTATTTCGGAAGACACGCATTTTTCGACCCATGTTTATATAGACTTTATGCATTAATTTTAAAAGTTCTTATCGAATCTTAAAGTTATGCAACAATAAACTGAAACACCCTGTAGATGAAAAGACGTCCCACTAGAAATCAAAATTGACGAACCCGAGCGTTTTTCCCAGGAGAGTCACCTTTTCGTTGGGCCACCCTGTATACCGAATTGTTCACGTACTGCCGTCGTAATAGAATACAATGGTGCAGGGTGCTGCTTCGAAATCTTCTGAGCCCGATTGTTGTTTTCTGTCATCGTCTCTTACAAATTTGCCATACTTACGGACGAAAAGTAAAAGGGAATCGAATCGGATCAGTAACATCGTAAACATTACAGTTTATTTACAAACTTTATAACCAGCAGCATGTGTTGTGTACAGCTTAAGTCATTCAACCTTGCCGGTGTTGGTATGCAGTGCACATTGTACGCATATTTGTGTGTATGCTCGGGAACGGCAGACGCTTTCATACAGGGTTTGTCCGGAAAGTAATAGGACTGAGTCGATTTAAAAACATTTATTGAGCCAATCGTTACAATTCTTTAAAAACTTTCAAAATAGGCTCCTTCTGCGTCGATGCAGCGCTGCCAGCGCGATTTCCAAGCATTGAAGGCGTCACGGAAGGCATTCTCCGGAATAGCCTTGAGAGCCGCGGTGCATGCTGCTTGGATCTCCTCTGTCGTCTCAAAATGCTTCCCTTTCATCGGCCTTTTCAGGCGAGGAAACAAAAAAAAGTCCGGGGGGGCCACATCTGGGCTGTAGGGCGGCTGCGGAAGCGTTGGGATGCCGGCCTTGGTCAGGTAGCTGTTCACAAGAAAGGTGGTGTGAGCCGGGGCGTTGTCGTGGTGCAACTTCTAGTCGGCTGCGATGTCTTGTCGGACCCGACTGACCCTTCGTTTGAGTCTCCTGAGCACTTCCACGTAAAACTTGGCGTTGACGGTTTGTCCAGGAGGAACAAATTCATGGTGGACGATGCCTTTGATGTCAAAAAAGACAATGAGCATCGTTTTCACTTTGGATTTGCTCATTCTTCCCTTTTTTGGGCGAGGAGACGCCGTCGTGTGTCACTCGGAAGATTGCCTCTTTGTCTCGGGATCATACTCAAAGATCCACGACTCGTCACCTGTGATTACGTTATTCAAAAATTGGGGGTCACTTTCACACATGTTCAAATTTTCTTGGCACACTTCCACTCGCCGCAATTTCTGGTCGTCAGTGAGCACTTTTGGGACCATCTTCGCGCACACCTGGCGCATGTTCAAATGCTGTGTCACAATGTCATGAACCACAGATTTTGGTAAATTTAACATCTGGGCAATTAAACGAATACTTAGTCGACGGCCTGAGTTCAAAACTTTGAGCACACGAGTCACATTATCGGTGTTTGTCGAAGTCGAAGGGCTTCCAACACGGTCTTCATCAGCGACCTCTTCCCGGCCCTCCAAAAAGGCCTGGTGCCACCGAAACACACCACTTCTTGCTAAAGCAACACCTGGGTAAGCCTGTTTGATCATATCAAACGTCTCTGTCGCAGATTTACCGAGTTTCACACAGAATTTAACCGCGTACCTCTGCTCTAACGAACGCTGCATTTTCGGCTTGCACCACTCACAGAAACACGTCGCGCGAAAAATGCCTGTCCTGACTCTTCACGTGCTCGGAGACAACTGACCAGCCGCTCATTCGTTAGCCAGGAACGCCCTCTACCGAATCCAGTCGCGCACGCTCCGAAGTACAGTCATGGCGGAAGAAAATGAGTCCTATTACTTTCCGGACAAACCCTGTACATGTAAATAATAACAGGGGGCTCCCTGCTGGCGCGTACAGAACCAGTTGTGACAGGAAACAGCGCGTTTTTCTGACCGTGAAATCCTATATTTGTGGAACCGGTCGTTGTATGCATGCATCGACAGCGCCAAACGGGCAGATATCGAGAAGTGCATGATACTGAAAGGCGCCAGTATTTCGTTATACAGGGTGAACCGTCCAGAGCAGTGGTCGCCAACCTTTTCGGTGTGTTGAGCTACTTTGATCATTTTTCAATGAAGCAATGTAAGCCAACTTGAATGAAATTATACACAGTTGTATGCGACATACATATGACTATTTTACTAATACTAATACATACTAATAAACTTAAATAAACTAATAACTAATACATACTACACAACTACATCCATTCCTACCAGTCGTAAGTGAAAAATAAACAGAATTTTTCGTCAGCTACAATGGCATGTCACGTACGATTTAATAAAGGTAACTAAAAATAAAAAAGCAACGCACTATTCTAAACAAAAACATGTCCAGATAAAAATTGCGTATTCAATGAGAAGCCTGACACTCAGGCTCACTGGACTTTGTGCCGTTCACTTTTAAACTGAGCACACTGTCGCCGCGCCTTGCGTATTTATTCCGTTCAAAGTAATCGAGATCGTTCTCGAACAGATCGCTCACCGCAGCGTTGCCGCTGCTTGTGTTTATTACGAGAATTTACAAAGTTTACGGTTTTGTGAAGTGAAAGGTAGGAAAAACAACTGATTCAAGTACATATATTTATCCGAAATAAATGTTTTAATTTTTTTTCTAAATTTTTCATAAGTTAGCGATTTTTTGGCTTGTGAAGGTTCGTTATAGAGAATAACTGCGTTGTATGAGAAGCACTTACAAAAGAAGGCTGCTTGTTGAGAGGCATCGTGAGTGTCTCCGCAAATCGAATATACACTGATGGACAAAAGTATATAGACAAATTAATATTGTGCTGTACTTCTTTTTTAACTTGTACCTGTATACATAATTCGTTATGGCATAATACTCACTTATACGTAAATAAATTCATTAGACTCCCTTCAAAAAAAAAAAATGGAACTATGAAGGACAAAAATATACTTCGAAGTTGAGTCATTTATTTTAACAGTGAGTAGATCTGATCAAAAGAAATGCTTTTTTCCTTTAACATTTTTCTGGTAAAATTAAAGTAACAAAGTTATAGCCCTTTAGAAGTTTGAGTACCGCCCTGTCTCAATAATAATATTATGTGCTCGTGTTT